CAGTGGACAGTCAGGACTGCAGAAAAGGTCATTGGTGTGAGCCTGCCCTCCATGGAGGACCTGTACACCTCACGGGTCAAAAGGAGGGCAGAGAGGATCACTGCAGACCCCTCACACCCCGGACACAACCTGTTTGAACTCCTCCCCTCTGGATGGCATTACAGGTCACTGTGCACTAAGACAACCAGGGACAGGGACGGTTTCTTCCTCAACGCTGTCGCTCTGATGAACACTTAACCGACGACAGTATGATGAGACAATGACCCTCAGTGCAACACCTGTAAATATACCTCGTACAGACTATACAGATTCATACAGGTCTCTATTTTAAGTACTCCATTTTATTACTGTTTATCTAATTTCTGTCTGCATTGTTTACTGCCTGTCTAAACTGCTTATTTTGTTATATTACAAACCCTTTATGTTGGTTTACTGTTTACCTGCCCCTTGCTTTGGGATATGTACATACACATTGAGAGCCTCTTGTGTCTGACACATCTGGCCAATAAAGCTGATTCTGATTCTTGTTCTTACAACAATTCTCAGTAACGTTACAGAAACGAGGCATTAACAGACACGCGTGTTTTTTAAATGTCCCACCGAGTAGTGGAAACATCACTCCCTTTCAAGTAGCTCCAAGGCCGGAGCTACCAGTGGTCGTTGCGTCTTCCCCCATATGACCACATACAGTCTTAAAGTAGTGAAATTAATTCCAACAGGTAGCGTAGCACTGACAATAACATCATGGGTCATTAATCGTCTCATTAACCAGCAACACATCACATGAGGCAGACACACTGGGCTCAAGCAGTCCAAACAAACAGGTACTAAGCTCTGGGGGATTCCAGTGTTGATCAGCTGATCATTCACCCGACTGCCGGCTGCTTGTAGGTTAGACCTGGTCAGGTAAAACAGTGAGTCTCTGTACAGGAACATTCCCAGATGTACAGTAACCTCAGGCCCTTTTTCTCCACATCCTCTGGTCACAGTGCAGGAGGGAAAATATATTCACAAAACTGGGCGCAGTCAAATAATTTCACTTTTACAATGGCACAGGTGGATGCCAGGCGAGCTCACATGAACGCACAACTACCTGGAGATTGAGTATTCAATGGGATCCTTAAACTATCATCATGTAATACTTAATTTTGTTAGAAAAAAGTTTTGGGAGCGAGAGTTTGTGAGACATTTATAAACCAAGTTACTTCTGCATAGAAATACTAAAATATATGTACACCTAATTTTTTTAGCTTTAGATCACGTCTAAGATGAGAATTCACCATTGTAACATTGTAGATAAGTGGAAAAAAAAATGTGGAAAAGCACCTTAGGCAGTTTAAGCAAGGACTCTGGAGTTGCTGTTGATGTCTAGAAATCAGCATTATTCCTAGATAGGAAATCATTTAATATAAAGATGAAGCCAGTGTAAAGAAACTCAGCTGCGAGAGAGAAGAGGATCAACAGTGATATGGCACCACATCAGCAATGCCTCCTCTCTAAAACACACAATGCTTAAATGGTTTTCCTCCAGGACAAGCTGTACCAGGAGGATTACAAGCTGGTGGTGTCGGAGGAGGAGAAGGAGCAGATCTCCACCAGGCTGAGTGAGGCGTCACAGTGGATGGATGACGATGGCTACACAGCCACCACCGAGCAGCTGAAAGAGAAGCTGTCTCAGCTGAAGAGCCTGTGCAAGGACATGTTTTTCAGAGTTGAGGAGCGCCGTAAGTGGCCGGACCGCCTGTCCGCTCTGGATAGTATGCTCAACACCTCCAGCTTCTTCCTGAGGTGAGAGTCCAAACGAGGGTATGAAGAAACTGGAGGTGGGAGGATTTAGTGTTAACTGACAGTTTGCCCACAGTGTGTTTGTTAAATTTGGAAATGCATCTATTCTCCTCCAGTTCAACCCTTCATCCAGACAAAGGTGGCATTCCTTAAGGTTGAAACAGTTTGGTGTTTTAGTGGGTCCGGGCAAAACGGAGCCAAAATGATGATGCAAGCTGCCCAGTGAGGGTTGGAGGCTGTGTGTTTGTAGTGTTGCTGTAAAAAGACTTCCTGTCACCTCTACCTTTTTCTGAGCTTGATCTTTTAACATTGCAGAGTAGACAAATACACAGCAGCGCTGTTGTCATTAACCTGCATTTATGGTAATTTTTCAGACAGTGTTATTTTAAAGTAATTGGTTTTATCACCGCAGCTCAGCAGCTTGGGAACAACTGCTCGTTATAATGTTCCTGAGATGTAATTAAACTATTTCAATAACCTTGTTCTGTTGTCAGAAACGCATGTAAGTGGGAGCTGCTATGGCACAGTGTGGTGCCACAGAGCAGAGGAACGCTGAAAGGATGTGTAACAGGCTGGCGCTCGGCCGCTGTGCGTGCAGCAGCTAGCCACTCTCAGTTAACTGTGGGGCAGTAAAGTTTACAAGCAAGGGGAGTAGCACAGCACACCTCAGGGATCGTTTATTCAAAGGGAGCACAAAGCACAGGTGTCTCTGGCACCAGCCTGTCCTCGGTGTGCAGACAAACAATGGTCATCTGTATGAGAGGAATCAGTGCAACATCACAGCCAGTCAGAAGACCTGTCAACCAAATGTCTTTCAAATGTTCCTAAATATATATTGCATAAATGTTACAAAAAAGAGAGAGTCAGTTGTTACAATATAAACTAACAAAGGCGAGCACTCTCAGTACGTAAAACAAATGACCTGGGGCTATTCTTTGTTGGTGAATCAACAGGTTAGCCAGAATTTGTTGACAATGTCACATAATCCCGGATCTGTTGCATCTGTCACTTGGCACTTGTTGTCATGGTAACATGTCCATAATCTCAAACCTGCTCAGGAGCAGGTTAGTTCTCATGCTTGTTTGGTGTAAACAAGAATTTCACAGATTTCAAGCATCATGGAGCAGCAAGCAACTTACTGACAGCACAGCAGACATGTTTAAAGAAAACGATGGGAATTGAGAAATCAACAGAACCCTTTGGCTTGTCCCAAACGGTACTGCTTCAGTCGGGAGGAAATAACTTGTTGAGGTGGACTGATGGTGCCCCATATTAAGGGCAGACAAAGAAGAGCTCTTACACCACACAGTGTGCATTTCCAAAGATTTTTATAGGGTTGTTAATGTGGAAAATTGAATAGAGCACCATTTTTGAGCTATTTGAAAAGTACCTGGTTCTGAAACTATTCCTGAGTCTTTTCCTCATCTGCCTTCTTCCTGTGTGCCTTAAAAACAAAGGATCTAACTCTTATTATTACCATTTTCTCAATACCTGTGGCCAAGATCAATTTGGCAGAATTTCCAGTATAGCCTATAGACTACAGGTGCTTCAGGAAGGACTCCAACCCCTATTCTATGCAGATTTTGCTGCTGCAAATTAATACTGAATCTGGAAAAATACACAAGGAGTGAACGTTTGGGAATCCTTTCTGACACGACTATTTCTGTATGTTGAATTCATAACAGTTGAGTCCGCTAGACATCTTGAGGTTATAGTTAAAGATGGTGTTGTACTGGACTACATTGTATTCAGAGGTGTTCCTAATATTCTGACCCTCTCATATCAGCTGTGATGCAGTTTTGTTGAAAAGAGGACAAGGGAGAGATTTAGGTGCTCTTCAACATGTTTCACCATTTACAGATTTCTACTAAAATGACCTGGAATTGTTGTGTGGATGCAAGATGCTTTCACAGTTTTAACTTGTGGGCCGTTTACCACGGGCATAGTGTAACTGTTGTTTTTCTTTGACAGGAGTGCCAGACTGATTCCAGAGGAAGACCAGATCTTCACTGAAGTAGAACTGAATATGTTGGAGAAGGTGATCAATGAAACAATGGTAGGTGGTGACACTGTCCTACTCGGTACTGTAGAGGATGCTGTTAGAGATTAAAAATGGAGTGGTGAAAAGGCTGAGACACACTGACTTCTTTTCTCTGGTATGGGTCACGTATAAAAAAATTCTAGAGCCTATGTTTCCTGTATTTGTGCCTTCCTTTAGACTGCCCCTGCCTGGTACATACAGTGGGTACGGAAAGTATTCAGACCCCCTTAAATTTTTCACTTTTTGTTATATTGCAGCCATATGCTAAAATCATTTAAGTTCATTTTTTCCTCAATGTACACACAGCACCCCATATTGACAGAAAAACACAGAAGTTTTGACATTTTTGCAGATTTATTAAAAAAGAAAAACTGAAATATCACATGGTCATAAGTATTCAGACCCTTTGCTGTGACACTCATATATTTAACTTAGGTGCTGTCCATTTCTTCTGATCATCCCTGAGATGGTTCTACACCTTCATTTGAGTCCAGCTGTGTTTGATTATACTGACTGGACGTGATTAGGAAAGCCACACACCTGTCTATATAAGACCCTACAGCTCACAGTGCATGTCAGAGCAAATGAGAATCATGAGGTCAAAGGAACTGCCTGAAGAGCTCAGAGACAGAATTGTGGCAAGGCACAGATCTGGCCAAGGTTACAAAAAAGCAACTTACTGACAGCACACTTAAGGTGCTGCACTTAAGGTTCCTAAGAGCACAGTGTTGATGACTGTGGCTGAGCTCCAGAGATGCAGTCGGGAGATGGGAGAAAGTTGTAGAAAGTCAACCATCACTGCAGCCCTCCACCAGTCGGGGCTTTATGGCAGAGTGGCCCGACGGAAGCCTCTCCTCAGTGCAAGACACATGAAAGCCTGCATGGAGTTTGCTAAAAAACACCTGAAGGACTCCAAGATGGTGATAAATAAGATTCTCTGGTCTGATGAGATCAAGATAGAACTTTTTGGCCTTAATTCTAAGCGGTATGTGTGAAGAAAACCAGGCACTGCTCATCAACCTGTCCAGTACAGTCCCAACAGTGAAGCATGGTGGTGGCAGCATACTGCTATGGGGGTGTTTTTCAGCTGCAGGGGCAGGACGACTGGTTGCAATCGAGGGAAGGATGAATACACAGAGGTATCCTGGACGAAAACCTTCTCCAGAGTGCTCAGGACCTCAGACTGGGCCGAAGGTTCACCTTCCAACAAGACAATGACCCTAAGCACACAGCTAAAATAACGGAGTGGCTTCACAACAACTCCGTGACTGTTCTTGAATGGACCAGCCAGAGCCCTGACTTAAACCCAATTGAGCATCTCTGGAGAGACCTGAAAATGGCTGTCCACCAACGTTTACCATCCCACCTGACAGAACTGGAGAGGATCTGCAAGGAGGAATGGCAGAGGATCCCCAAATGCAGGTGTGAAAAACTTGTTGCATCATTCCCAAAAAGACTCATGGCTGTATTAGCTCAAAAGGGTGCTTCTACTAAATACTGAGCTAAGGGTCTGAATACTTATGACCATGTGATATTTCAGTTTTTCTTTTTTAATAAATCTGCAAAAATGTCATTCTGTGTTTTTCTGTCAATATGGGGTGCTGTGTGTACATTAATGAGGAAAAAAAATGAACTTAAATGAATTTAGCATATGGCTGCAATATAACAGAGTGAAAAATTTAAGGGGGTCTGAATACTTTCCGTACCCACTGTATGTAGCTCAAGGGCGAGTGTACAGAATATAACAAGGGTTATTTTCTCATTTTAAGAACGTCCTATCGGAGCCACAGCAGAGATTTTATAACTGTAATAGACCGAGTAGTTCTCTTTGTGTTGAGTAAAATTCTCTGTCTGCTCCAGACGTGGAAGAATGAGACTGTAGCAGAGCAGGAGAAACGCTCTCCAAAAGAGCGTCCGGTCCTGCTGTCCAAAGACATAGAGTTGAAGCTGGCTCAGCTGGATCGAGAGGTCAACTACTTGCTCAACAAGGCCAAGTTTGCCAAGCCAAAGGCTAAAGCCAAGGCCAAGAACAGCAGCAGCCCAGATAAAAGCAGCAAGGCCAACAGTACGGCCAACGAGACGGTCATCCCTCCCACAGAGGAGAGCACAGACCCAAAGGGTGGTGGGTCAAACACACAGCTGGCACTTGGTCTTTCATTGTACATATGTGTAATAGGGCAGACTTTAACCTCATGCATTTTTTTAATTCAATTGCAGAAAGCCCAGAGGAGGTAGGGCAGGGTGAGGCCCCGCCCACAGAGAGCAGCACCGAGAGCAGTGCCCACACAGACTCGGACAGCCAATCACAGCCCACAGAAGGAACGACAACTACAGGTGCGTCTGTCTTACCTGCTGCTGATAATGCCAGAGAACTCTAGGTCATCAATCAACTGGAACATAGTGAACGTGGTTAGTACGACACAAAATACAAGCTGTGGGATGACGAGCCGTGTTTTCCTTTTCCCTCTGAATCCAGCCAGGGCGTCAGCGTCTCAGCCGACAGGCTTTCCACGGCTACAGCTTTGTGTGTGTGTGTGTGTTTTATTGAAACTGTAAACGTGGACTTGAGGCACTCAGCACTAGCTGTGAAATGTAGAGGTCACATGCTTAGCCACATACACTCAGTATTCACTTTCCCTGTCTCTGTTCTCATTTTCAGAACCAGCGGAGAAGGTTCAACCTGAAAATCACATAGAAGATGAATTATAATGGCTGGAACTGGGAAGGAAACTCAGTATATTTATTGACATTGTATAGATGTTCGAGCTCCATCTCCTTACTGTTTTTGATCCTGTTGGGCTTTTTTTTTTTTTTTTTTTAAGCCTGGAACCTGATTTGGATACAAACTAGACACCACTCGTCTTGTCTGCACTGTGTCTCCTTTCCTGTTGATCTCTTATGTGGATTAACAAAAACAGACCGTCTGTGCTGAGGTAGACACAGGGTCCAGACAAAATCCCTTCTCAGTTGCAGGGGTGATCTCACCACAGCTGATGTAGAAGGTGTAACCTGTACTTGGCCATATTGTAATAAGGACAAGTGTTATCATTTTCTGCTTTGTCCATGCACCATTTCCTCACCCATGGTTGTGTTGTTGTGAGGTTAGTATTTGTCCTGACACCTTTTACTGACCTTTCATGACCACTGAGTTGAGTGCACTACTTGATGTTAGGGGGGTGTTTGGGGCTTTTTTTTTTATTTTTCCAACATCCACCAAATTTATTTTGCCATATAAATTGTAGGGATATTTCGCCTACATACAATGTATTGCCAGTTGGTTGAATGATAAGCATTTTAATCAGGTGAATCAAATCATCAGTTATAAATCTCTCCTCATATCAGTCAGTGGAGCAGCATGGGAGAGTCGCACTGTAAATTCCAAGCAGGGCCCTTAGAGGACAAAAGTCAAACGTGGACGAGATGAGAGATCGAGTTGAACTACAACGTATAAATTATAAAAAGGATGGCTGATACTGTACATGACCAGAAGTGCTGGTATAAATAGGTATCTCGTACTCGTGTGACAGACCTGGCTTAGAGGCAGACTTACTGAAGGTGTGTCCTTAAGTGAAAAGTCACTTATATTTAAATTTGTTGTGTACTTACTTGAAAGTTGTTCATCCAATATTACTTGCCCCTTGAAGTTTATATTTGTCACCACCATTTAATTTTTTCTATTTAGGGTCTGAACAGAATCATGATTACCTCAAAAAAGAAGCACAGGCCTGGGTCCAGCTGCTCATTGGCTGCCCGGTGCAGACTGAGTGCTAGTTATAAATCTGAGTTGCCAGTGGGGCTGATCTCGAATGTTAAATGCTGTTTCCATCGAGCTATTGACCCAGGGGGCTGAGCCAAAACGTTTAATAAATCGGTCCGTCTACTGATGCTAGGGCGACCGTGGGAAGTGCAGCAGACAAGCTCCATGTTTGACCAGTGTCACAAGCTGCTGGGCATGGCAGAGGAGCTGGTGTATTAGTGTCGCTCTTCTGCACATTGACGAGCCCCGCCATGCAGTCTTACTCCATGTTGGCTCCATTTTTCCTCATCGAAACAGGAGGCGTTTGATGGCCATGGATTTCACCTTTGGGTCAGGTGTGTGCTTCTGTGGTTGCAGCACTCTGGGTTATTTGAAAATGAAAACGCAAAAAGACTTAATGGAAGATGCTATGTTGTGTTTCTAAACTGTTAATAAAATCCCTTTTTTGTTTTTGACTGCTATTTTATTAATGTACTAACATGATTACTTGAGCTTGCCTCAGTGGTGGTCCACTGTAGCAGACAAGCTGGGGTCAGGTGTTTGTGCCTGCACACATCCTGTTGATGTGCTCAAGGTCCTGTTGGTCCTTTGCACACACCTGAGCTTCCTGTCAACAACCACAGCAGTGGTCAAATGCTTTTGGCAGCTGTGCTCAGCTTTATAGTTTGTAGTTTCTCTGCCATCAACTGTCATTTGACACTAGGTGTAGGACATGGGCACAGCAATCCGTGGTTCGTGGAATTCTCTCATCAGAAATGTTTTCCCGAGGATGGCTCCATCATTTAATACGCGTACTGAACCAAAGTGTGCTAAATTGTCTTTTTTCATGTTTGACATTTTTGACTCACGGGCACCTTGATGTCTTGTGCTCACACAATTTTAAGTGTGAAATAAAATGAGCTACTTTTAACTTTTACATATGAAGGATGTAGGCGGCATGGTTAACGCTGCTGTATCACAGCAAGAAGGTTCCGGGTTCGAGCCCCAGCCGACCCGGGCCCTCCCTGTGTGGAGTCTGCATGTTCTCCCTGTGCCTGTGTGGGTTCTCTCCAGGTACTCCAGCTTCCTCCCACAGTCCAAACATGCAACTCAGGTTGACTGGTGACTCTTGCCCATAAGTGTGGGTGTGGTTGTTTGTCTACTTGTCAGTCCTGTGACACACCTGTCCAGGGTGGACCCTGGCTCCAGGCCCCCGTGACCCTATTCAGGATAAGTGGTATAAATAATGGATGTGGGACTTAAAACACTCTTCAGTGAGTCCTTACAATTTCCCCCTGTTTCATGGCAGACATTTTGACTGGCAGTAAATGAACAACTTAGCCAACACCATTAACCAGGTGGCACTTAGTGGTCGTCCCGGCCAGGCCAACTGCATGGTGCTGCTGTTAGTGCACACCCCTGTGCGCATCCTGCTCCGACAGGTCTGCTGCTCGTTGCTGGATGGTACAGTACTTCTAGTCCTAAGGGGCTCTACTTTGCTTGAATACATCTAGTTCACATTAAATTTAAAGGAATGTTGTACTTCTTATTCCTGCATTCATGTGCAGGACGCTGCATGGCAAAGCGAACATACAGAAGAGTTTATAAAATAAGATGGACTGTACAAATACAGATTCATTTACCCAAACTTGCAGCACAGTTCACACTGACATACAGTCTGCATGCTAAAACCTCATACTCTGTGGTAGAATGAGTAACTGAGGACAGTGTGCTGTATGATGAACTCAGTGAATTCACTTAAAATCCTGTTGGTACATTTACTTCGTTTCAAATGTCTACCCTGTTACAGAGTCTGTCAAAAGTAAAGGGATGATATTTACAGAAATTAGTTTGTCTGATGAGATCAACAGAAAAACAGTGGGCCCTTTACTTCTCCTCCCAGGCCATTGAAGCCCCTCTGGACCACACCAGACTGCATGCTTGGAGTTTAAATGCAACACGCCCAATTCAAGACCCCATTAAGACCGTGCCAGTGCACACCTGCACGTTTTCCTCACATTAACCCCAGCTACCACTTGGTGTCGCTCGTTTCCAGCACTTAGAGCCAAAATGTATTTCAGAAAATCAAAAGGCGGGGGGGGGGGCTTCAATGGAAGCAAGTCAGTTTTAATCAAGCAACGTTCGTTTCCACTGTGCCATTACACGAGAAGGTTGGTGATTTTATAAGGTGGCAAAATCAGTGTATAAATGGTGCAAAGCAGACTTTCAGTTACCGACTTAGATTCCTCCTAAATTTATTCAATGATTTGTTAAAAACCTTACACCGCTCAGAAAAACGACATCTTTTAAAATAATCAAGACATTCAGCAAAGGGCCTGGGCTCCACTGGCATTCACTCTCTTCGAAAACAGCAGTGGTGCAAAATCACAATCGCAGCTTCCCAAAGGTGTGTGTGTGGGGGGGAGTTAATGATCACCCTCGGTGATTGTTGCCCCCACCCACACTCGAGCTTCTGTCCATCTCTATTTTGAGCTGGTGTACTTGGTCACGGCCTTGGTACCCTCAGACACGGCGTGCTTAGCCAACTCCCCAGGTAGCAGCAGGCGGACGGCGGTCTGGATCTCCCTGGAGGTGATGGTGGAGCGCTTGTTGTAGTGCGCCAGTCGCGACGCTTCCCCAGCGATGCGCTCAAAGATGTCGTTGACAAACGAGTTCATGATGCCCATGGCCTTGGAGGAGATCCCCGTGTCTGGATGCACCTGCTTCAGCACCTTGTACACATAAATAGCATAGCTTTCTTTCCTGCTCTTACGACGCTTTTTGTCGCCTTTCTTCTGGGTCTTTGTCACGGCCTTTTTGGAGCCCTTCTTGGGCGCAGGGGCTGACTTCGCAGGATCAGGCATTTTTTCCTTCAATTCGAACAGTAACACAACGGCGACGAAAGACACGACTCACTACTGTACCATCGCCGCGCCCTTACTTATAACATGGCTGTACAAATAAGTGCGTGCCGTTCCTTCTTGGCGATTGGCGCATCCTTCACCGAAGGACGTGCGTGACTGTGGTAAGGGCTGCGCCATTGGTTCGTGCTTTCCAGTTGCGCTCGACCAATCAGAGCAATCTTTGTGGTTTATATTAATTTGCTCATAAATCCCATTACGTAGAGATTCAAGGGTGTGTGTTTACTGGGTTTGCAGTGTTTTTGGTTCTCTAAAACCCATATTTTCACCATTATGTCTGGTAGAGGGAAAACCGGAGGCAAAGCCCGAGCAAAGGCTAAGTCTCGCTCCTCCCGTGCCGGACTCCAGTTCCCAGTGGGCCGAGTTCACAGGCTACTGCGCAAGGGCAACTATGCGGAGCGTGTTGGTGCTGGGGCTCCGGTGTATCTGGCGGCTGTACTGGAATATCTGACCGCTGAGATTCTGGAGTTAGCAGGCAACGCGGCTAGGGACAACAAGAAGACCAGGATCATCCCCCGCCACCTCCAGCTGGCTGTGCGCAACGATGAGGAGCTAAACAAGCTGCTGGGAGGTGTGACCATCGCTCAGGGAGGAGTGCTGCCCAACATCCAAGCTGTTCTTCTTCCCAAGAAGACGGAGAAACCAGCAAAGAGCAAGTGACAGACTCCTCGCAGGCCCGGGTTCAGTCTCGACAAGGGGCTCGCCAGGGAGCCAGCCACTTTTTCATATTTAGTGTTCGTCTTTTTGGATAAAAGACCTTTAAAATAGGGGACAGTGTTTGGTGTTGCTGTTTTTACATTCGCTTTTCATCGGAACTATTCATAGACTGCTTGTTCGCCGATGTTGTGTTCCTGGCTCTGGAAAATGGTGGCGCTCTGTGAAGGCTGGGAGAAAAATCTATATCTTTATATAGACCAATTCTGAGGGGCGGTGGGCGTTTTAGTTTGACAAGGCTGCTACAAAACATGCAACGTTGTTGTTTTGTCATGTTGTTTCAATAAATGTCCTGCAGCCTTTTGGCACAGGGTCAAAATGTTCAGTGTTTATTTTTGTCATCCTGGGACTCTGCAGTTGGTCTTATTGAGGAACCAAACGGCCCAGAGGCGCAGGACACAGCTTCTCCGGCTTTAAAGTGGTTCAGTTATATATTTACACACCAGTGGGTAATCCTGGGTTTTATTTTCATCAGAGGTTGAGTTCACACACATTAGGAGGGCTGGCTCCTGATGAGGTTCTTGGGTAATGCACTTAAGAGTTATAATTCATCATGGTTACTGCCATGATCCCTCATATGATCACGCTAGAAAGTATTCGTTCACTGCTCCAGCTTGTAATGACACCCTGGGGAAATGTGTGCCAGCTAGATCTGACAGTATTGATGGCCACTTTTTCTGTTGTTGCAAACGTTTCTGTCCTTTTCTCCTTGTAGGTACAATATCCACTCCTTTCACATGGTGTTTAATCTGAAGTCTGACCAAAGTCACATCCATGGTTTCAATTAAACTGAGTGTGGGGATAAGCACGACTTGCATTGTGAATTACCAGAGAATGTTTCATTACATTTGTCCTGGACACGGAACCAGACTACGAATATCACTTGTGTGGATGTTGGATTAGTCAAACTATTTAGTTCAAAATCTCTTCTGTATGAGGATGATGTTTGGGGACAGCTTTTGAAAGTCTGTGCTGCTTTTACTTCATAATTTGACACTGACCTCCAGTCTGCCTGTAGGGACAGGAGCGGGTGCTAAACCTGATCCTTGTTGCTATAACGTTCCAGTCTCTGCTTACCTTTACAACAAAGAAGTCATACAAGATAAATTGGAGTAACAGAACATTACAACCGACAATCCTGTGTGCTCATTTAATCTGAGCCAGAGCAGGAAATTTGATCTTAATATTTGTATAAGTGAATGTGAAGAGCCGAGGGAAAACGCCGTGAGTGCAGCTTTGTAACAAAACGTTACATTTATACAGTAAATTAAGACATGCTCTGAGACTGAGTTTCAACATGATTGCTAATGTATAGGACCAATACTATAAATATTGATCATTACATGTTCTCCATCCATTATGATGACCTATAGTTTAACAGCAATTTGCTGCATGTTGTGTAGCCAGGCTCACAAAACCTTCCCAAATGATGGGACACTGCAGTTTTATTGTAATCTTAATCTTTTGCAGAATATTTAGACATTTATGGATATAAATTCCAAACCTTTTTCACTATAGTGTTTAGTTCACTGGTTCAAGGATGTTACAATAAACGATACACATTGTGCCCCCTGTAGCTGTATAGTGGGTTTTCTCTCGGTCCACGAAGCAGAATGGAGGGAAAAGGCCAAACAAAAAAGCACATGCTTCATTCACTATTTATTATTCTGAGCTCACACTTTACATAGGCCGCAGACAGCTTTGGCTTGAAGATCGTATTTGTTCATTTATCGTCGTGACTCCAACGTTGTGTATTAGGTCTCTGGGGATGTGGATGCTTTTTATTAGTATGGGTACGGAGATGCCATAGGAACTGATCAGTCGACTTCCTCGATGGTTGGTCCGGAGGATCCTCCACCAGTAGGAGCACCACCTGCTCCAGGGAAGCCACCTGGCATGCCACCAGCGTTCTGGTACAGCTTGGTGATGATGGGGTTGCATACCTTCTCCAGCTCCTGTTGTTGATGCTCATACTCATCCTTCTCTGCAGTCTAGTGCAAAGAGGTCAGATCATTTCTTCTCATATTCAGAATTAAAATTTAGAGTGTAAAGTTCAGTTTAAACTGCTGCTGTTACAAAACAGATGAAGTATATAGCTACACATGGAATCACAATGCATGACTGATTGTATGAAATTGAGTGAAATTTCCATTGAGTTTAGCAAATGCATAGTCCTGCAAAACCACAGAATCAGCAACATTTGGAATTACATTGTGATATCCACATCTTATTTCTAGTAAATTATCCACTCATACTGGAAAACTGAGTTAATAACCACTACTCTGCCTGGCACCAACTCTCAAAGACCATAAAGCAATGACTATTTTGATATAAAAAATATATACTTTGTATGTAGTGGCAAATTTTCATTCCTTTCATTTTTCACCTAAACACTCATGCATAGTCCACCACACCACCAGAAATCTTTGAATTTGACCAGTGGACAAGAATACACACCACTGATATGCAGGTGGGGTCTCAGGGGAAACCTGCTATCCAGGATTATATTACAAAACTTCAGTTGCTTGGCTCGATCTAGACTAATGCTCACCTGGTTCTTGTCAAGCCAGCTGATGACCTCATTGCACTTGTCCAAGATCTTCTGCTTGTCATCATCACTGATCTTGCCAGCAAGCTTCTCATCCTCCACAGTCGACTTCATGTTGAAAGCATACGACTCCAGGCCGTTCTTAGCGGCCACCTTGTCACGTTGGACGTCGTCCTCTGCCTTGTACTTCTCGGCTTCCTGAACCATGCGCTCAATGTCCTCCTTGCTGAGACGACCTGGGAGCAAATGGCACAGTCAGAGATTGTCACTACATTTGAGATGGAGCTGAAATTTAACTCAAAACTCACCCTTGTCATTGGTGATGGTGATCTTGTTCTCCTTGCCGGTGCTCTTGTCGACAGCAGAGACGTTCATGATGCCGTTGGCATCGATATCAAAGGTCACCTCAATCTGAGGAACACCACGAGGAGCAGGAGGGATGCCGGTGAGCTCAAACTTGCCCAGCAGGTTGTTGTCCTTTGTCATAGCGCGCTCGCCCTCATAAACCTGATACAAGTATGAAAGGTTAGCGGACAATTTAAGCTTCGTCTACACTTCTGCCAAATTGAATTCGCTCAGACATCCAAGGAAGGTCAGGGCCATCTTTGGTCTTATGACCTCTGGTGGAAACTACGAATGGCAGGAATAAACGTCATCACTGCGAAACACTGAGACTGGTACAATTATGTTGTACTTACCTGGATGAGCACACCAGGCTGGTTGTCAGAGTAGGTGGTGAAGGTCTGAGTCTGCTTGGTAGGAATGGTGGTGTTACGTTTGATCAAGACTGTCATGACACCACCAGCGGTCTCAATACCCAGGGACAGAGGAGTGACATCCAGAAGCAGCAAGTCCTGCACATTTTCAGATTTGTCACCAGACAGGATGGCAGCCTGGACAGCTGTAAATACAGAGCAGGTTGGAACCAGTGAAAGTTAAAACACTGTAGTTCAGGTCATGATTGCTAGGTGTTACACATGCTGATCGCACTACAAAACCACGTAAAAAGGGTCAAAGACACAACCGTGCGTGCGCTACCATTTGAAGACACCTACCAGCTCCATAAGCCACAGCTTCATCTGGATTGATACTCTTGTTGAGCTCCTTTCCATTGAAGAAATCCTGCAGCAGTTTCTGGATCTTGGGGATACGGGTGGAGCCGCCAACCAACACAATGTCATGAATCTGCCCTTTATCCATCTTGGCGTCACGGAGAGACTTCTCCACAGGGTCCAGGGTGCCACGGAAGAGGTCAGCGTTGAGCTCCTCAAAGCGAGCCCTGGTGATGGAGGTGTAGAAGTCAACTCCCTCATACAGAGAGTCAATTTCAATGCTGGCCTGGGTGCTGGAAGACAGGGTGCGCTTTGCCCTCTCACAAGCGGTGCGCAGACGACGGACAGCTCTCTTGTTGTCGCTGATGTCCTTCTTGTACTTGCGCTTGAACTCTGCGATGAAGTGGTTCACCATGCGGTTGTCGAAATCTTCCCCACCAAGATGAGTATCTCCAGCAGTAGACTTGACTTCAAAGATGCCATCCTCGATGGTCAAGATGGACACGTCGAAGGTGCCACCCCCAAGATCAAAGATGAGAACATTCCTCTCAGACCCAACCTGAGCAACAAGAGAAGTGTGAGACTGTTGTCCATGTGTAGGTGGACTTAAATCACGGTACAGCTACTACCTCTCATCTGCGTCTCACCTTCTTGTCCAAGCCATAAGCAATAGCTGCTGCAGTGGGCTCATTAATTATTCTCAACACATTTAGACCAGAGATAGTTCCGGCGTCCTTGGTTGCTTGACGTTGAGAGTCATTAAAATATGCAGGAACTGTGATAACAGCATTTGACACAGACTGAAAAAAACCCCAAAGAGATGAGTTTTACGTATACTGTGGCAGTTCTGCAATTGTTGAATTTTTTTGTTTTGTTTTTGTAAACTCACCTTCCCGAGGTAGGCTTCAGCAATCTCCTTCATCTTTGTCAGCACCATGGAAGAGATTTCCTCTGGGTAGAAGGTTTTGGTTTCACCTTTGTATTCCACCTCCACTTTGGGGCGTCCACTATCACTGATTATGGTGAATGGCCAGTGTTTCATGTCAGACTGAACTACTGGATCCTCAAATCTTCTGCCAATCAAACGTTTAGCATCTGCACTTGCCAGGAAAAACAAAAGAAATGTTATACTTATTGTTTCTTCAGATACTTCTAATTTATTTACATTCTCATATCATATTAATATGTGAGTAACTCAGTTATTCACTCAGTGACAGCATAAGATCATTAGCATTAATTAGTTAATTAATATTTCATAACAAGCATCACTTCACTCTGCTTTAACCTTACCGAAGACTGTGTTGGTGGGGTTCATGGCAACCTGATTCTTGGCTGCATCTCCGATCAGCCGCTCACTATCCGTGAAGGCCACATAGCTGGGTGTGGTCCTGTTGCCCTGGTCATTGGCAATGATTTCAACTTTGCCATGCTGGAAAACACCAACACAGGAGTAGGTGGTCCCAAGATCAATGCCAACTGCTGCCCCTTTGGACATGATTGCTCTGATAAAGCAGAACAATTCATAGTTAGAGCTTTTCCAGCAGGGGGCAGTTACTCTCAATGAACACAACTGTTATATATGTTACTGTATGCAGTTAATCATTGTGATTTTAGACATACAATCTTATAAGTGCAGTAAAACTATGTCATTACAAGTGTTACTTCACTGTATAACTAACCGCATCTAATAAGCACCTTCTTCAACCTGCAGCCTCGTTCAGGTAAATGGTCTTATATTTGTATAGCGCCTTTCTATGCTTTTACAGCACACTCAAAGCGCTTTCACACTATTTGGCCATTCACCCATTCGCACTCCCAAACCGGTGACATCACCGGGAGTTCAGTGTCTTACTCAAGGACACTTCGACATGTTGACTAGACAAGCCGGGAATCGAACCGCTAATCCGCCGGTTAGGAAACGACCCGCTCTACCTCCTGAGCCACAGCCGCCCCAGGTGAAGGCTACAGTGTCCTGTCATATAATATAATAGACTGGTGTTTCCCCAAGATTAAATGTGAGTGCAAGGCAGCCATCTTAGGCTGGGAAAGTCGATATATTTCGATCTGAAAAGGCGCAGAGAGTTGATCTAGGCAACTGGTTCAACAGCTTTAGTCGCAGACCCCTGTAGTGTAGGCTGCGCTTGTTTGCAGAGCAGCGCAGGACGACGTGAGCCCGACACCATGGAGCATTCTGCAGCTGGAGCTCCGATCAAAATGCTGGCCCCTGGTCCATCTGGGAGAGACGGAGCCCACATCTCCCACACCGCCTGCCTTGCTGCAGCATCCAGCTGTTCCCGCATCCATGCGCCAAGTTGCATGGACCGGTATAAGACTAACACTCCGAGCCAAGTTGCTGCACTCACAGTAACGCCATTGGGGCTTCTTGCCTTAAATTCAGAAGAACGACTTTTCAATTCAAGGTTTTTGTAAGATTATATCACAGGGAAAATTAAGTAGGCGAATGACTATGAAATAAACATGTTCAGTCACGCTATAGGTTACATCCTAGTGGAAATTATTGTGACAGAAAAGCAGAGAAACACCGACAATCTCACACTAAACTCACTATTTGCGGCCATAGCCACTCGGTGGTATAGTAGGCTGTAAGGATGAACAGGCTACACAGCCCGGGCTGACCAGGACCAGCTATGCACAGGCCCGGTGAGAGCTGCCGTCCTACCTGGTGATGCAGAGGCCTGGGGTCGCTGCAGTCCGGCAGATGAACACGGCGTCACTGTTTCAGCTCAGGCGTCCCAGTGCTCCGTGAACCAATCAGCTTTCAGAACAACAGTGGGCTTCCAGCACATTCTGGGCCAGTCTTCAGTCTGATTGGCTCCAGCCTGGACAGATGTAGGGAGGTCTCACAGGATAGAGAGACTAGGGACAGGATTAGAAAGTCCCAGGGCGTTCCTTAACCTGGCTGGTAAAGGTTTAGGTATTTTTAAATGCAAATAACTATTATAGTTTGTTTAGAAAAGCTCGTCCGTTTTTCCTAGTCATCCAGGTCATAGTATGCCCACCTCTGAGCTGATGAAGGTGAAACGTCTTCTGCCTAAAACTACGTCCAGATGCCTTCTTCTAGGCTTTAGACAAACTCATTACAGATGAAGGCATGGCTTCTTCTACAGTGACAGATTTTAAAGTGGTGCAGCCTAAATACTAACTGAATCACACCTTTACCATGTTGGGCTATAAGTCACATCCTGTGGTGTTGGCTATACGAACGTGGTCAGTCTCTTTCCCAGATTTAAGAAAGTGGTAAACTAAATGTACCTGAATTGCTTTTGTACTACAGTCATATTGGCAGCAATGTTTCATCAGCCATTCTTAATCCTACAGGTTTAAACTGAGTTTCCCTTAACTAAGTAATTCTGCCAGCCTTGGTTATTCAGCCAATGCAAAATGTGCAACTTAAATGTAACCCTAGTACAGAGAGATCAGAGAGGAGAAATGATAGAGGCTCTTGTTATTTCCCATGGTCCAAGTAAACATCAAAGGACAGAGACATGAAGGACCACATATACATGTATAGTAAATACACTAATGATTTGTATTTTTGATAAACATCTCTATCAGTTTCAGTGCTAAGGGTCCAAAAGGTGTTCTTCCTACAGGTGAACACAGGCAACATGATAGTTCTGTTTTTATGTCTTTACTTTTTCGAAATCCAATCCAAATCTTTCTGTGTTCCTAGTCAACCTCAAATGCAAAGTCCGTGGCAAAACTGTGGTTGTGTCTATGTCACAACATTTGTTTTCAGGTTCTTGTTGTTTCTTTCAGAAGGGATTTTATTCTACACATTCTTTTGTAACATGCTATACAATATGAATCATAATAAGTCTAATTACATGAGGTGCAGGCACGTGGTCCGAGGGTTGTATACATCATGTGTGGGCACACTCATGTATGGGCAGATGAGAGGATTTCCTCATCTGTTTGTCGGTTTCCAAGGATTGTCCACAACTACCTTCCTGCTTGGTATACTAAAACCATTTTGTACAATAAAAGACTTAAATCTTACCATGGGTCTGAGTTTTGCTACCTGAGTGCAAAATACCCATAGATGAAGACAGATTGGTTTTAACAGTCTATGCCTCGAATAAGTGGATGCCAAAAAAATTTCCTTGAACTAAACAGATTCTTTCTATAAATAAAGATAGCTGGTGGTCAGTGCTTGTCTTAAGTTCAAGACACTAAAATCTAACACCTGTGTCAAGAATCTTGGTGTAATCATTGACCTGTGCATTGTGTTAAGCACTTTGAATTGCCTTTGCATATGAAATAAATAAATAAACTTGTCTTGAAATTTTCTGCAGCTTCCCCTTTTTATGAACTTGGTTTGTCCTTTAACTACAGTGCCACAACTCTTGGAAGACTCGTTGCCTTCACAGGACTTTCCAGCTCACATGGGTGGGTTTCTGTTACATAGGCCTCTGCTAAAGAAACTGTAGAGCTGTGTCAACAGTTTAGTTGGAATCACAGCCTTCCAACATGATGTCCAAGAGGTCCAACCACACTATGACCAAAAAGCTCCCTGAACAGTTGGAGCTGATTTAACTGAGGCCTTATGGGTCTCTAAAGGATCTGCGCTGAAGTATTACCTTTAAGCTAAACAAAGCCCCTGAAAATGCTCTGAACACTAGACTTCTACTCTTCCTGGGCTGTACTGCTGAGAGACCTGTCTCACAGAGCAGGTTGACTTGTGATAGCAGTACAAATGAACTATATGATGATCTCCCTTCTGTGTGAAATACAACAAACACACCTGTATTGATTTGGAAAAGTATTGATATAAAAGATGACAGATATTTCCCCCTTTTCATAACTAAAATGATTATTGGCTAGTACAACTACAGAACTCATTGGGGCAAAACAGTTTAATTTCAAAAGCAGGAGCTAATGTGTGTGAACCATTAATTAAGCTTGTATGTTTAGTATACTGTAGGTATCACATGAGAAAGCCTTAAATGAAAATGTTTGTGGAAACCACAGAGCAGTGATGTCATGGAAGGTCCCTCTGCAGCATACAAATAGCAATGAGGAAACACAGCAGAGTCACAGTGTCGTTGTGGGTGAGTGACAGAGATGAAAGTGCAGCTCAGTGTCTTCATACTACTCATAGAGGGTGAGTCATTTACTGTATTTTTCACTACTTAACTTGTTAGGTAAAAGTAGATAATGCTGGAATGGGATGAAAAACTGAATCTGATCATTAAAAGAAGACAGCGATGCCAGTAGAAGCCCTCACAGTTTCAACATCTTTATATGACAGCGTATGATGTTTTACATTTTGGCTCACTGAGGAATATTACAGGGAAATTCTACATTCTGATGCCCCTGACAAATTACATGGTTGTATTTTCTGAAGATCAAGCTTTTGGTGGCATTAGATTTGTACATGTTATATGTAAAGATTTTAACTTAGTCATGATTCTCAGCCAATTTGCCCTTATTTCATTTAAGCTTATTTATATGTTCTTTTTTTGCACACTTCTGCCATATTGTAGTACAGTATGTATGTCTAGGAATGTATGTGTGGTAATATTTGAATATATCCTGTATATCGCAGTATTCCTTTTATGTGACGCATCTATTTTCATTCCACAGGCAATATTATGTACTTTAAAATATACATAATATTGCCTGTGGAATGAAATATTCTTTATAGGTCAGGCTTTAAAAATCTAAACAAATGTCTCCTCCCATGATTCAAGTCTAATGACAAATGTAGAATTGCTGCTTCTATGCAAAGTTTTGTGGTTTCCATACACCGTGTTCATTTAAATGAATGTAATATCTAACGTGTGTGAGAAGGTCTTGATGGTCTCTGCTCCTTCAAGCCCACCACCTCATTGCTAGCGTCAATATGCCCCCACAAATGTGTTTTCCAAACAGCTCAAGGGAAAAAGCACCCCCAGCCCCCGTGATCAACCCACAGCAAATTTATATTTTCTCTTATACGCACCCTTACTTTCTCTTTCACCATGAAAGGACTGACCACATTACTTCCTGTCACAGCAGACATGCATCAGCTAGGTAGTGGTGGGCTGCTTCTTTTGTAGCTGCAGTTTAGTGAAGAACAGTATTTTTGTTTCCTCTGTCACCTCCTCCCCACACACACACACAGTCCCAGGTCAGTGGCACAGAGAGGAAGAGATGAGTCAGACGTGAGAAACGGTATTTCTACCTCGGACACCTGTGTGCGCGGGGCATGGAAACACTTTGTGCTCTTGACTAACTTTTTAAATTCCACCAGACACTTTGCTCATTCGTTCTGTTGGGGTCAAGGGGGAGCTGCCTGGATCCGGTGTCCTTTTATGAGGCATCACATGTATTGTCAGATTGTATGGTGTAGAAATGACACCTTGCTCTCCATGTCAGTTTTCAAAAAATCTATGTTCCTATTTATTTGATTGTAGTTTCACTTGCGGTTTGGCAGCGTGTGACTGTGATGAAAGGTCAGACACTCATCTTAAGGTGCCCCCTAACCAATGCGCACAACACCTATGTGGAGTGGAAGAATCCCAAAGGATACATTATGTTCTTCAGTCACAATAGAGGTGACAATCACATCGACAACTGTATGAGCAACAACATAATTCCAATCTTTGATTCCATACATCAAGGATATTATACATCTTTTTACTTCCTCTGGCTTTTTTTCCAGCTTTAAAGGACAAGCGCTACACAATCATCAGACTGTCAAGCTCTACATTCACCATCAGTATTTCCAATGTTAACTTCAAAGATGGAGGAAACTACACATGCTCACACTATGGCACCCGCACAGAAGAGAAGAAGGTGGAGGTGACAGTGCTAGGTGAGTGTTACGTTCCTGCTACATATTCATTTGCACACTGTTCATATGCTGATACTGTATATTTATCTTTGCACTATTTCATTCAACTCATGTGACTTAACATCTTATTCCACCTCATCCCATTGCTCTAGTGTTCTATAAGCTTAATGTAATATCAGTTGTACATATCTATTGGTAAATTAGTTCTGACTGTTCATACTGTCATGGTTAGACCCCCTCACCTGGAGGATGAGGGAGAACTGAGAGGACTCAAGACTGCTGACCCAGGTGCTAGTTAAAAAAAAAAAAAAGGTTTAATGGAACAAAACACAAGCATCATAACAAGGGCCATGAACATATATAGACAGCAAAGTAGGGTAGAGATGGTGGAGGAGACCAGGATGGCCAGGGGAAATAAAAAAACAGACTAACAGCAAAAAAACAGGAGAATCGGAGGAAGAGGACGGACAGGTGAATAAACAAGCAAACCAGGAAGGTAGGCGAACGAAAATGGAAATCCACAGCACAAGAACTGTCACCGTGGATAACAAAAAGAACATCTAGCTAACCACATGGGGGACAAAAAAAAGAGGTCCACAGCACAGGAACTGTCAGCATGGAACACAAAATGACATACAAATACATACCACAACTATAGGGCTGTTACAGGATATGCACGTTAATGCTCCACGAATGGCGGCGCGTCCGCCAGAGGTATAAATAAATGGACTGTATTTTGTAAATAAGGTAGGAGGGTGATTACAGTAATGCGGCCCAGCTGTGGACAACTCACAAGTCACTAATTACAAAATGCGACACAGCTGAGGCGCTGATCCTGCAAAAAGAGCAAGCACGCGAGAGAAAGGCAGAAGAGAGGCAGGTCGCACCGAGCAGACCTGACACATACTGCATGTCTGGTTAGATGCTAAACTGTATTTTGTTTCCTTGTACTTGTACATGGGTAATGACAATAAAGTTGAATCTAATCTAATCTATTAAATTATTGTTGAAGCCATTAAAGATATGGCTTTGACAGTGATTTAGATGCTTTACTAACCTTCATCATGGCTCACCATGACTACTGTGTTCATTAGTAGGATAAGCATTTCATAATATTATAATAATATTTGGTCTTGTGTTCATTCTTTTAAAGGTTATCCCAAAATGAATGTAATAAAGCATAAAGAACAGTTTGTCATAAAGTGTACTGCTAAGGGGAACCACCATCCTCCGCAGATTTCCATGAAACTGGGCCATGGACCTGAAATTCTTGGTAAGTTGGTAAGACTGATGTAGTGGACTTAGACTAAATAGCAGAAGCGACAGTGTAACTAAGAAGTGAACAAGAAGAGGTCACATACAGTGAATCTGACTTGCAAAACTCACATTGTCAATCTTTAATCTATATTTTATTATATCTGCAGTTTTGTGCATAGTACTTTGCACATTTATGAACAAAACCAGCATGTGGGTTTAAATGCGTCACTGTTTTTTTTACCAGCCAGCATTTTTATTGGCCAGTGAGCTTTACAGGCGTATCAGCATTAAACTCAGCAACCACAGGTGGGCTTCTCTACCTGCCACAGTAATCTTTATTTGTGGGTTGCCAGATGTTATTTTAAGACCTGATAATGACCACAACCTTAGTCATGAATTCCTTTTTAACTGTCCATTAATGACACCATTTCTATGTACACATAAAGTTACTCCTACTCTCTTTGTGTTAAACTTTGAATAAATGGAAGGTATAAATCTTGATTTTGATCCAGTGCCTCTGCAGTGTTACATTATGATGGGTGTTTGTCTGAGGTGGACTGGTACACCTGCTTAGCAAAGGAATCTAACATCATCTGCCTTATTTCCCAGATCAACGTCAAGTGCGACATGAAGATAAAAGCTATGTCTCTGAGGCTATGTTACACATCCAGTCAGTGACGACCAGAGTCAGTGTAACATGCCTTGTTCGCCATCCAGCTCTGCTCACATCACCTCTGATTAACTTTGTCGAAGTTGAACGAGACTGTGAGTACAGTTCATTTAATCTGAAACTTAACTACCAGTTCCTATTTTAGTGACTATAACTTTTAGACAAGCATGTTGTATTGACAGTCCATGTAAAAGTTTCACCAGCAGACAAAATACAAAAACATGGCCCTCGTATTAACCAAAACACATTTACTTGAAAGACTGATATTTGAGGAACGGTGAATGCATGTATGTGGCGTCACAAAAAGGGAAAGCACTGGAGAGGGGTTTTTTTTTGCTCCATGACACTGTCCGCAGCACCAAACTGCCCTGTGTCATTTCCTCTTTTTGTATGTTGTAAACAGTCTGGTTTCCTGTCCTCTAACAGAGACACAACTGGTGTGTGATTTGCAGCTTGTTCAAATAGCAGCATGAATTTCCACTTCGATTTTCTATGAACTGAATGTTGTTTCTGTTCATTAATAATGTAATCCCCCTCTCTGTCACAGCACCAAAGGCCCTCAGTACAACCACAACCAGTTCAGCCACAGCTCAGCCCAAAACGACAACTGGCTGGTTCAGACATGGGCAAACAACAGTGTTCTTTCCGACCCCAGATGTAACTGGGCCATCTACAGCACCGACTAGATTTCCTGCAAACCCTGTCACCTCTACAGGTTCACATCTCAGCACTAGTGGTGAGACAAACTGTTTTCATTTGTATACCATTTTTATGGCACATGCAATATGCAGAGATGAGATGAGATGAGGAACACAAAGCAACACCCCTAAAGAAAGTTTTAAGAAACACCAAAAAAGTATATTTTAATGTTACATATCAAAATAAACATTACAGAAGTTCAAACAGTAAATTATGTCTCAGAGGGTTAGGGTTAACCTTATTTAAAAAAAAAAGTGGCTACACCAAAATCTAAATGAATTTAAGATGTACAGAATCTACAACAGGAAAGCAACCTCTACATCATGACTACATACCATGGATATTATATCTCTTATTTATTGCTCAAAATGTTTAGTACATCATGCAGAGTGTCAGTCTGTGGGGTGGAAACTAAAGCTTTCTCAGCTTTCATAGTAATTTAGACTGGTGGCTGACCCAGCACTGTAGCTGTGATAGCACTAGATCTGTTTGCTGCGATGGAAGTGTCAGACTATAGTGTGAAACTCGGTTCTGTTAGATGCGTTTATAAGTTCTGAGGGCGGAACTGTGAGGCCCCTGTAGAGATTTTCCAAGATAAGTGCAGAGTATCATCAAAGATTGATATCCCTGCTTGACAAACTGTAGTGTACATTTTCTTACATCTTTAAGGAAGAACAACTTTTGAGAGAAAGTCAGACAAACCTACACAAAATATTACAGTTCCCAGCCAAAATATTTTCTGTTTCACATGAAGATTAATGTGAAACAGAAACTATTTTCTTTAACAAAGTTCACCTTCTCTGGCCTCTTTTTTTCTTCTTATTAAAATGTATTTATTTTATTGTAGATGGAACAAAAACCTCTCTGCTGACCACCCCAACCAGCATGAGGAATGACACTATCAGTAATGCAACAAGCACAACAGGTACGATATCTCAGCGTCTAATACTTTTTCTCGACAAATGTATGTTTGGTGCCATCTCGTGGTAGGTCTGGACAACTACAACTGGGTTGCTGCATTTAGAAAACAGGGTTGAGCTGCAGCGTTCTGGGTTAAGTATTGTATCCCTCTTCTTTATATTTTCTTAAAGGCTGGACACCTGTCTCTGAGACAACAGAAGAGACCACATCCTTCAACAGTACAGGGGGAAACAGAACAGGTAAATTCATACTGTTAACAGTCCCAGTATTTGGCTGGTTGAGACTAAAACTGGGCGCCTCTGGAGTGAAAATAATAATGTTCCTGTCTTGTCTTATGCACACAGTACAAATGTGATTAAGGGTTTGCTGAACTAACTACCAGCATTCTGTCCAGTGATCCCAGGGAGCACCAATGACCCGAAGATGCAGACCAGAAGCGGAGGACGTTCATCATTACTGGTGTTCCTGGTGACATGCCTCATCGTTGCTCTTCTGGTGGTGGTCATTTTTTTCACCATGAAGCTGAGGAAAGCTCACATTGCCTGGAAAAGAGGTAAATAGAGCATGTCCCTGAATTCTCCATGGCATTTAATCACACCAACCATGTCAGAGTGAACTTTACCCAGGGCCCATAAATGCCTGAAGCAAATCCTTTGTACTAGCTCTACTCTGGCTTCTGTTTCATGTATGGCTGTAAATAGATATAAAAATAAAAATATATACAACTTAATGTAAAGTATATAATAAAAATATACACTCATATTCCCCTTGGTTAGGTACACCTCTACAGTTGTATGCAGTTCAGTGCAACACGTCCACCTTAACATCTGTGTTTATGAAGCTGAAAATGTCTCAGTTTTTGATGAAATTGTCATAAAGATATATATACAATTCTATGTTTATTAGTGAGGTCATAGGTGGTCTTCTGTTGTACTGGACTACATTATATTTAGAGGTGTCTCTAAATTTTTGGCCTCCCCAGCTACATACATGAGAAGGTCAGAATATTAGGAACCCCTCTGCATATAGCCTCCTATATTGAGGGCATGTAGTTGCACAAAGCCATGCAGTTTCTTTTTGAAATGCATTTTTAAAAAAAGCATATGACAGTTTTTATTGTTACAGAGAATGAAGAGTCTGATCCATCCGAGGAGAGCAGTAAATCAAAATCAAGCCAGGAGGAGAAGAACTCCCAGGGACAAAGGCGAAGAGGTAAAGATAAAAACTTTACCTTAACTGCTTTTTAAGTTTCCTACCAGAGGAAACATATTGAAAAACATTTGTGCCAGCAGAGACTGCAATCCACCTGCAAAACTTTGACTTCCTGCTGCTCCCACACATGCTTTGTGAATTATGTTCTGTGACACACACCATGCCAAGCACACTGTGATGCCTTGAGGAAAAAATGAATTCTTCAGTGTAATTATATTTGATTTTGCATGTGCTGACTTATTACTTTAATTTTCAAGCAGCTACATTCATTTCCCAAATTCAAGTAAGAATTGCAGTTCAAGGAGAGTCTCTGCTGACACACTGGTCCTTCCACAGTGTGTAAAGAAGTAATTTGTTTTTGCACGGACTCACTGATTATGAAACTCTCTCTCTCTCTCTCTCTGTCAAACAGGTCCTGCCAACATTGCATTCACACAGTATGTTTCTGAAGAACCAGCAGCGATAACCTCAGTGATAAACACAGCTGCAATGAGAGCAACAGAGAGTGTAAATAAAGAGCAGACTTCTCAGCCTCTAGCCCCGTCACAAACCTCAGCCAAATGTGACATTAAGGAGACAGCACTGTAAAATGCATTTATAAGCAGCAGCATATTGTGCCCACAGATTAAGCTAGTTAGCTTTTATCTGCACTTCTAACAGAGTGTATGTTTACACAGAAGAAAATGTGGCAACACATTGCTTGCACTGTACTGTGATATGTTATGTATATATGTTTACTTATACCAGTAAATTATGTTTTACATTTTGCTTTAACACACTTTGAATGAACATGGATGTGTGATTGTTTTGTATCTTTTGTGATATTTTCCATAAAGTGACATTCCCATGTGATGTGACATCCCATATATCAACTCTATAGTACGCTACTACACAGGTACCTCAGATGTTCCCTCCTTGTAGTTTTTTCTTTTTTTTACATAATAATATTGTGTAACACACCCTACAGATTTATTCTATCATGTTTAACACTAAACATCTACTGTATTATACCACTAAGTCTAGCCTACAGTATGGAATAAGAGGGGTATGCATCACTGATTATAATGTATTTATAGCACATATATATATATATTTGGATTACTTATTTTAATTTCCAAGATAGAGCACAGTTATCACCTCCTCACAGGAGTAAGATTACAGGCATACACTTACCCTATTGTGTAATTATATACATTAATACATCTCATGGATAGCCTATAAAATTTGGAAAGAAATGGTCATTAGCCTAATTATAAAGTCATGTGAAGCACACTGTATTGAAGTTGTAATCAAGCTCATACAGCTTTTAATGTTCTGGAAATAAATGTAATTGACATAATCATAATCATAAGAAATTACCCTAAACATTGCCACCTGACACTAATCAGGTCTATTAATGTAGCAGAAGTAGTCAATTTAATGAATAGGCCAACCCCTCTCCCAGGACATCACATTGCCACTCTGGTGAAATACTACATAAATTTCACTATGAAGTTAAAACGCATTAGTGGTCTTATCACCTATTATTAAAAAATTAGGGTCAGCGACTTTATTAACCAATATAAAATCTATTCATTATTTTGTGGTAACACAGCTTATTGCAGAACATTTTACACAACACTTTTGAACAAAATTAATAGGGATATAATATGAACAAGCAGACTTCGTTAACCTTTACTGCATACGTTTGACACTGAGATGGCCAAATTTAAAACCAGTGAGGTTCGTTGGATATTTGGTCCCAGTGCTGAGGAGCTGATGTAGTTTTCCAGGCCACTAGGTGTCACAGCACTTCCTTTGTTTGGGGCTCCAAAGCTTCGAATCTCTATCGGCACAAACAGAAAGAATATCACTAAGCTTCATAATACTCCATCCACTCTTTACTAATCTCAAGGCAAGATACAACACAATACCTTGCGGGAAATCACTGGGCAATCCTAATTCAAGAATCCATGCAGTGATTATGAAACAAACACCATGAAACAGGAAGTAGGCTGTATTGTCATCGCGTCATTAACGACAGCGAGCGTCATTGGTGGACCATCGAGGAAAGACGGAATTACTCACAGAGTCGACATATGATTGGCTGCATTACCGGCCATATATAAGCTTCCGCTAACGCTCTCCTTTCCCTTCTCATACCGGCAAGGACAAGACTACCTCACAAGTGGCCAGTGCAACATTAACACCTTGAATCATCAACATCAGCGGCCAGGAAATCGGTAGGTTTTTCTTGAATACGTTACAATAGTGTAACGTTTCACACTTTAGTAGATCTTCCCACGTCGTTAGTAGTTAGCTTTAATGGCATTATTGTTTTTAGTATGTTACTCAGTCGCCGTTTTTCATAGATGAGAAAATTGTCTTATCTATAATTTACTTGTATAGGACGTAAAACAATATAGAGGTTTAACGTTGTAGAGAATCATGTTTGCTCTTGGGGTTGTCATCACGAGGTCAGTGGGTGCATTAGCGCAAGCTAATGTTAGCTACCTTGCTGGGTGGGGGTGGGTAGGGACTAAGACATTCGAGAATGTTCTATGCTTGTATCACGGTAGAGGGAAGGAACGGATATCCGGGTGCTCTTTCACAACAAAAGCCTCAGTATATCCCTTTGTAAACGCTTGGATTCAAATTTATAACGGGCTCTGTTTCTGTAAGGTTTCGTTAATCGGGTAGTTTCAGGCGAATGTCCTAATATTTTTTTGTTTATAGCTATGTGTCAATTTTCGCTAATTTCCGGTATGAATTGCTTAGCCACTCATTCTCACGTGGCTGCGTCATGCTTAGCAGAACATGCTAATTGGGTGTAGCAGCGGTACAACGAAAATCTGTCTGTAGAAATTCTCCCGTCTGTGTCTAAAAGTAGTATTGCCCCAGTATTGTTACAAGTAAAAGCACATAAATAGGCATCAAAAGTACTTAAGTACGAAAAGTATAGCATAAACCTACTCATTATGCAGACCCGTTTCACAAATAATTTTCATTTTGAGTTATTGTTACATTACTGTGTACATCACTAACAGTAGTGTTAACTGAGAAGTACGATATTTAATCTGGCATGTTAAGTCAGTGTATGGCGTGTCAAAATGAAATCCTCAAGTACAAATACTTCAAATTTGTATTAAAGTACAGTGCTTGAGTAATTTATGACGAAGCTTTATTTTATTGTCTTTGACACGTACAGCGAAATTTTGTTTGGAGCCGAGGGCCCCGGGGCGCTGCGTACATATACGCCGCCATCACGGGCAACTTAGGGGTTCAGTGTCTTGCCCAAGGACACTTCGACATGTGGACTGCAGGCACATAGTTTCGAAACTTTAACGTTCCGGTTGGGCAAAGACTGCTCTACCCACCACACCACTGTTGCCCCACAATTCAAATTATATTTTCATTGCTGCTGTTTCATACTTCATCACTTTAGCAAGCAAAATTTATTTATATAAAGCACCTTTCTATGTTACAAGGTGCTTTACAGTAAAACAGAAGTCACATCTAGATGACAAAATAATAGCAAAAATGCATAATTAAAAACAAAGTCAGCAATGTTAAAGGCCTGTGAATACAAGTGCATTTTAAGTAGTGATCTTAACTATTGGATTCAGAGCACATCTAATATCCTGTGGTAGACCATTCCACAGTATAGGAGCCCTTGCCAAAAAAGCTGTCTTCCCAATGTTTCAATCTGGACTTGGGTACATCAGGAACAACTGGTTAGAAGACCCAAGTGTCCTCTCTGGAGCAATGAATGTCATGGACTGAACTTATATTTATGATGCGAGCTTTCAGTAAGGGTTACAGCAGTATACTGGCTTCACGGTATACCTTGGTATGGAAAATTATATTTGTTTTATTACAGTATTGAAGAAAAACAATGCATGTGCACCTTTTCTTCAACTGCCTGTCAGACTCTGCAACGGGTGTCACACATGCAGCAAGCAAATGACAGAAGGCTGATGGCCTATTACTAAACTCAGCTGGCAAAAATAGTTAAATCAGCAGTGCAGGATTACATTGGTCATAAAATGAGTTGCTGATATTTTCCAGTCTGTTCGTTTGCTAATCTCTGATTTACAGACACTCAGACTGATCCCAGTCTAACCCAGAAATGCACGGCTCCCCTCAAGTTACAGATGGGATCAGTCTGAGTGCACCATCACTTACCTACAGTAAATTAGTAACTACTGATAATTGTAGAGTGACCTTCATCACCATTGACAGAAGTATTACAAACCAGTCAATGGAATAATGAAGAAAAAAAATCAAGAATTGATCTATTATGAAAATCAATAGTTCAGATACAAAAGAGCTGCACCAACTAGCTCACAACCTACTTTTACATTGATGCATGAATGATAAACTAAGGATCTAATAGTGCAACAGGATGAAATACATCTACTCTGCTTTTAATAGCTTGAGTACATTTTTGTGATTAATTTTTCAGCATTGGATGTTAACAGAGTAGACTACTTTTGCAGTGTTTTATTAGGCTAGTACTTTTATTTAAAGACTTGCAATCTAACATGTTTATAGTGAAGTGCTATTATGTTTATAATTCTGTTTATTCTTTAGGGTCAGTCTAGTGCTACAATAACAAAGGGCTCTTCATTTGACTGTCATTGTAGCTGATAATTGTGTACTGTGAAACATGGGTTTTCCTTCTGTGAAAATCTGAGTTGCCACCCTACTTCAGTTGTAGCCCACTAGATTGACATGCGTTTCCTTTTTGCATTTCTCTAGGAAATATGTCTAAAGGACCAGCAGTTGGCATTGATCTTGGGACCACCTACTCCTGTGTTGGTGTGTTCCAGCATGGCAAAGTTGAAATCATTGCCAATGACCAGGGCAACAGGACCACACCCAGCTATGTGGCCTTCACAGATAGTGAGAGGCTGATTGGAGATGCAGCCAAGAATCAGGTTGCCATGAACCCCACCAACACAGTCTTCGGTAGGAGTCGGAAACGTGTTTAAGTCATTTGTTGTAATGGTGAAAATCCTCAAAACACAACCCAACACTTCTTATTACATAAAGTGACTGGCATCTTAAACAGTCAAACATTCTTGCTTTAACCCTTATGAAGTAAAGGCAAGAATTAAAATTAATAAAGTGGTCCTAAATAACTTGTTTTTTTTCTGAGTTGCTTTAGTGTTTCTTGAATGAACCTTAATATTTGCAAATGGTAAAAACATATCTCTAGCAGTTCATACAAATTGTACTACACAATGGATTAACTGCAAAAGCTCAAAATCCTTAGTTCCCCCTCAGTCACTGAACATGTTGAGTGACAAGTCATTGCCAGAATGCTTAGCCATGCAATATGAGTGTGCAAGTGTTCTCAGATGTCAACGATGGCTTAGGTTTTGATGACTAGCATAAAAAATGCACAAGGCATTCTGTATGGCACACCAATACCAGCCATTTAGTTTCACATTACTGTGTGAGGGAGATTTACTGCAAAAATTGGACAGCTTGCATTTACACTTTTTCCTCATTGTGATGCAGAAAGGTTGACTGCTCAGAGACCCATATAATGCATTTTGATCAACATGGCATGAGCACCTAATGTTTTAAATGGCAGACAGTTGTACATGATCCTTTGCCTGAATGGTCCAGAGCACTTGGAATTTGTTAGTGATTTTTGCTTCAGTGATCTGCACAGTGACTGGATGATGTGGAGGTTGAACAAGTAGCTTTTTGTTTTTGATCTGAGAAATGTATTCGACCAAGTGAGGAAGAACTAAAGAACTCCCCCTGTTTTCCTGCTATTTGTAGTTTCTACCTGAGGTTGAATGGCCCAAGTCCATCCTTCTGTGTGCAGTTCTAATGGAAACTTCTATTGGTGCAGGTTTCCTTTGTTTTAAAGAAGGCTCTTTTGCAGATGCCAAAAGGCTGATTGGCCGCAGGTTTGAGGACTCAGTTGTGCAGTCGGATATGAAGCACTGGCCATTCACGGTCATCAATGACAACAGCCGCCCCAAGGTTCAAGTTGAGTATAAGGGTGAGGACAAGTCCTTCTATCCAGAGGAAGTTTCGTCCATGGTGCTGACAAAGATGAAGGAGATTGCTGAAGCCTACCTCGGAAAAGTATGTTAACACAGCTGTGGACAACTTGCAAGCAATGATAGGAATTGGTGCTGATGATGTTGTTTCCTTTCAGACTGTCAACAATGCTGTAATTACAGTACCCGCCTACTTCAATGACTCCCAGCGCCAGGCCACTAAGGATGCTGGCACAATCTCTGGCCTCAATGTTCTGCGAATCATCAATGAACCAACTGCTGCTGCCATTGCATATGGGTTGGACAAGAAGGTAAACTTGAAGTACTGTATGATCAAACTGAGCTAGTAATTGTTTAATAGCTTTAAGCAATGTTTATTTCATTTCAGGTTGGGTCTGAGAGGAATGTTCTCATCTTTGATCTTGGGGGTGGCACCTTCGACGTGTCCATCTTGACCATCGAGGATGGCATCTTTGAAGTCAAGTCTACTGCTGGAGATACTCATCTTGGTGGGGAAGATTTCGACAACCGCATGGTGAACCACTTCATCGCAGAGTTCAAGCGCAAGTACAAGAAGGACATCAGCGACAACAAGAGAGCTGTCCGTCGTCTGCGCACCGCTTGTGAGAGGGCAAAGCGCACCCTGTCTTCCAGCACCCAGGCCAGCATTGAAATTGACTCTCTGTATGAGGGAGTTGACTTCTACACCTCCATCACCAGGGCTCGCTTTGAGGAGCTCAACGCTGACCTCTTCCGTGGCACCCTGGACCCTGTGGAGAAGTCTCTCCGTGACGCCAAGATGGATAAAGGGCAGATTCATGACATTGTGTTGGTTGGCGGCTCCACCCGTATCCCCAAGATCCAGAAACTGCTGCAGGATTTCTTCAATGGAAAGGAGCTCAACAAGAGTATCAATCCAGATGAAGCTGTGGCTTATGGAGCTGGTAGGTGTCTTCAAATGGTAGCGCACGCACGGTTGTGTCTTTGACCCTTTTTACGTGGTTTTGTAGTGCGATCAGCATGTGTAACACCTAGCAATCATGACCTGAACTACAGTGTTTTAACTTTCACTGGTTCCAACCTGCTCTGTATTTACAGCTGTCCAGGCTGCCATCCTGTCTGGTGACAAATCTGAAAATGTGCAGGACTTGCTGCTTCTGGATGTCACTCCTCTGTCCCTGGGTATTGAGACCGCTGGTGGTGTCATGACAGTCTTGATCAAACGTAACACCACCATTCCTACCAAGCAGACTCAGACCTTCACCACCTACTCTGACAACCAGCCTGGTGTGCTCATCCAGGTAAGTACAACATAATTGTACCAGTCTCAGTGTTTCGCAGTGATGACGTTTATTCCTGCCATTCGTAGTTTCCACCAGAGGTCATAAGACCAAAGATGGCCCTGACCTTCCTTGGATGTCTGAGCGAATTCAATTTGGCAGAAGTGTAGACGAAGCTTAAATTGTCCGCTAACCTTTCATACTTGTATCAGGTTTATGAGGGCGAGCGCGCTATGACAAAGGACAACAACCTGCTGGGCAAGTTTGAGCTCACCGGCATCCCTCCTGCTCCTCGTGGTGTTCCTCAGATTGAGGTGACCTTTGATATCGATGCCAACGGCATCATGAACGTCTCTGCTGTCGACAAGAGCACCGGCAAGGAGAACAAGATCACCATCACCAATGACAAGGGTGAGTTTTGAGTTAAATTTCAGCTCCATCTCAAATGTAGTGACAATCTCTGACTGTGCCATTTGCTCCCAGGTCGTCTCAGCAAGGAGGACATTGAGCGCATGGTTCAGGAAGCCGAGAAGTACAAGGCAGAGGATGACGTCCAACGCGACAAGGTGTCCGCTAAGAACGGCCTGGAGTCGTATGCTTTCAACATGAAGTCGACTGTGGAGGATGAGAAGCTTGCTGGCAAGATCAGTGATGATGACAAGCAGAAGATCTTGGACAAGTGCAATGAGGTCATCAGCTGGCTTGACAAGAACCAGGTGAGCATTAGTCTAGATCGAGCCAAGCAACTGAAGTTTTGTAATATAATCCTGGATAGCAGGTTTCCCCTGAGACCCCACCTGCATATCAGTGGTGTGGTTGACTATTCATTTTACCCCCCTCCTGTACACTGAAATGTCCTTGTTGTGCAGACTGCAGAGAAGGATGAGTATGAGCATCAACAAAAGGAGCTGGAGAAGGTATGCAACCCCATCATCACAAAGCTGTATCAGAGTGCTGGTGGGATGCCAGAAGGCATGCCTGGTGGCTTCCCAGGAGCTGGTGGTGCTGCTCCCGGTGGTGGATCCTCTGGGCCAACCATTGAAGAGGTCGACTAAATATTCCAACACTTTAGCTACCTCAGATGACCAAGAAAGTAACCCTCTTTAGGCGCAAGTTAACAAGCTTAAGAGTGTATTGTACGGAACACAAATGGGGTTCAGGGATCACATTAATGCATAATTTGCCACAACTGTATGGTAGTGTTTTGTATACTTGAGTCTCTGCCTTGTCAATAAAAATAACTTGTAACCCACTCATCTAATGGTTATTTCAATCTAGTGATCACAACTATTAAACTGGATTGACTATAATTTTATGCTATGGATGTTTACTATTGCTTGGTGGCTTGAGATTGAACTGCTGAAAAGATGAACATCAGCCCTTGTACTGGCAGATTTTTAAAAGCTGAATTTATAAAACAGTAAAAAGTTGGGCAAAGGAATAGCCCCCTGCACTCACTGAGTTTAGTGAATCTGATCAAACGGCTCATTAAACATGCTTTTGTCCTTTCCAGTATAGACTTGATATTTAAGAGACAAATTACCTGTTTGAATGTGACATACAAGTGGCGTGAGGGGCTCTTTCCTTGGCAGGAACATCTCTAGCACAATAACGTCTGCATCCCATTTGGGTGTTAAATTTTCATAGGTCTGTCTGGTACTACGTAGGCAGGCCTGTTTGGCCTAAATCTCCAAAGCTGCTTGTATTCAAGTGGAGCTTAGCTGCTGAATCCAAATTGTGACTGTACGTCTGCTAGAAGTACATCATCGCTCATTTGGGTGTTCAAAGTTTAAAATCTGAGCTTTTCTGGGGGAACCATTAGAACACCGTTGTGGATTGGTGTTAACTTCCATAGGTCGGACGTTCATTATGCAGTCCTTGAGGTCAGTCCGATTCTTTCTGCTTTAAGCTGTACCTGACAAGTGTAAGTAGTCCTGTTTGAAGATGCTGAACCCGACCTAACCAGTTGGCTGCCTGCTCCAGAGTCTTGGAAACTAATTCAGCGTTTGCTTCGGTGTCTCCATGGTTGCAGTGTTGTGTATAGTAGGCCATTAACCGGGAAAACTGGTGAGTATTTCCAGTTTATTGCCTTAATGTTTGCGTAACACGCACTGTTCGGTTGTCTTGCTGTTGTAACTAGCATTACAATAAATGCATTCGATAACCTATATCGGGGGTCGAGTCTGGCAAAACAAGCTAGCCTATGTGATAGCTGTTATAACGTAATTGGCGCTTTTGCTAGCGTTAAGCAAAGACAAAGGAGGACATACGTTTACGATGGCTTACTCTTAACCACTTCCCAAACGTTTTCCACCGTTTTCATATTTGATTTGATAGCTTTTAAAACACGTTTCCATCGGGTGTCAAATTGAGGTGCACAGGTGTCTAAATGACTTCACCTGAATAGAAATGGATGTAGTCTGTTTAAGTTGGTATGTGTACGCCATGACAGTTTCACCACTATAATACAAAAACGATTCGTTCTTGTTTTAAGAACAAGAACTTCTCGTCATATATTCACTAATTTGCTTTAAGCAGATTTAGCCTACGTTCATAATCAGTTTTCACTGCCAAACAAGTTCTACAGGTGCAACTAAAAGTTTGAATATCGATGTTTTTTTCGTAATTCAAAAAGTGAAGCATACTGCATAATCTAGATTCATTACAAGTGGAGTACTTCTCGGTAGCACCCCGCTTTCTATGCTAGTGTTTCACGATAAGCTGCTCATGTTCAGCACATGAGACGGGCAGATCATTCTGAAGATGGAGGTGTAATGTTTTCATGCATTGTGTCGGAACTGTTGTCAAATGAAGAAAATCATGACCATAACTAATGGAATTTTAGACTTTACACCACTGGTGTTTCAGAATGTGCTGGGATGAGTTAGAGAGCTTTGAACATTTTACAACTAAACAATGTGATAGGAATGTTAGAAGAAGAGAGAATCACTGAACATGTGTACACCAGAAAAAACGCAATCATATGAGAGCGTTTCAAATAGTGTTTTAAAGGTAATCCTCCAATCGCATCACATTTTGGTGTTAAATATCAACCATGAAGTTAAAACGCACAGGGAACCCACAGTGACGTCACAACGGCAATTGTTCCTCCAGTGGATGTATCCTCATTTCCGCTCGTTATTATAATCACAGGGTTCATACAATCTAAAGCAACGGCCATTAATGAGTGATGTTTAACAGATTGTGGATATTTTTAAACTATGTTACCAGTTAGGACTGCCCTTTAGGAGCTTATGGTCAGTGTGACTGTGACATGGGAAGCAGTGCTATCTATTTGGGGAAGCGATCAGTGCAGTCATGTACATGCTATTAAGGGTGGAAAAAGTTATAGTAGTTGAAAAGATTCTAGATAAAGAGCCTATGGTGCTTTTCCTTGTTTTCTGACTTATCTACAATGTTACAATGGTGAATTATCATCTTAAACGTGACCTAAAGCTAAAAAAATGAGGTGTGTGTTTTAATACTTCTATGCAGAAGCAACTGGTTTATACAAGTCTCGTAAACTCTCACTCCCAAGACTATTTTTTCTAACAATATAAAGTATTACCTGATGATAGTTTAAGGATCTTGTTGATTGGTCACAATCTCCAGGCAGTTGCGCGTTCATGTGAACTTGCCTGACACCCAACGGTGCCATTTTAAAAGCAGAATCTTTCGACTGCGTGCAGTTTTGTGGATATATTTTCCCTCCTGCTGCACTGTGACCAGAGGATGTGGAGAAAAATACAGGGCCCGAGGTTACTGCATGTCTGGGAATGTTCCTGTACAGGGACTCGCTGTTTTACCTGACCAGGTCTAACCTACCGCCAGCCAGTGAACCCCCCTGGAGCAGTGAATGATCAGCTCATCAACACTGGATTCCCCTGGAGCACAGTACCTGTTTGTTTTGACTTTTAGAGGCCAGTGTGTCTGCCACATGTGATGTGTTGCTGGTTAATGAGACAATTAATGACCCATGATGTTATTGTCAGTGCTAAGTTACCTGTTGTAATTAATTTCACTACTTTGAGACTGTATGTGGTCGTGTGGGGGAAGATGCAGCGACCACCGGTTGGATTTACTGACCTTGGAGCTACTTGAAAGGGAGTGATGTTACTACTTTGTAAGTTTAAAAAACACATTGCATGACTGTTAATGCCTTGTTTGTGTCAGAGAAAATTGTTATAAGGCTAGAAAAGGTTCTATGTCTGCATTATGCCAGTTAAAATATGGGGTTTCTCAGTTACCCACTTTGTTTAGAGTGTTACACATCTCTTTTCATCAGTACACGTACTGTTGTTTACCAATCTATGGAAGAGAAAATCACATTCATTAATGCTGTTGTTGTCCATCACTTTTTATTTATCTTTACTGGATGCTAACCATTTGATTTTGAAGGTTGCTAAGGGAGAATTAATATTACTGTGAACAAAAGTGATTTACAACGTCATAAATATTATTCTAGTGGGTGCTGGTGTTGTCTTTTTTTTTTGTCAACAATCTCAGTGAAATGATGGACTGCAGCTTTGCTCTTAAATCTATTTGCCCCAGTGCAGCCCTTAACTGGAAACAGTGATACACCCTCACCCCGGGCTCGCCATGTTAGCTGACCTCACAGTGAACAGGCTCCATTACATACTGTATTAATATTTGGTAGCAGCAAGTTATTTTATATTTAGGATTTGAGGACAATATAGGCTCTTTATTTTTGCTCTTGCATTTTGTGAAGTAACATCACATTTTAAGGAAGCAGTTGTGAACAAAAAACTTGAATTTTAAAAGTAATACAGTTCATTTGGCTTATTCATTATTTGTATTTTGTTTCATTTGGTATTTACAGTTATAAACACACAACCAAACCAATGTAGCTAATTTAGCCTATGTACCTGGTGTGACTACAAGGTAAGCACTAGTGCACACTACCTCTGAATTATGCATGAATACGTTCCATTCTGCTCACATTGCGTGAATGCAGCATTATTGTAACATGAGTGGAGCCATCTTTAATGTTATGAGAAACACCTTTCCTACTATGACAAAGAAAGTAAAATAACCAGTAGCCCCTTAGACACTACCTTTGTAGGGCAGGATTGGTACGCCTTTATTCCCTCTGGTTTTCTGTGTGTAAGGTGCAAAGCCGGAATGGCGGGCCATTTTCACTCCGCTCTTGCTCATCTAATGGATGGTAGAGGCAGTTTATTGTCCTATTCTGAACTATCTATGAAATACAACTTATCTTCACCAAGAAATACATATGAGAGGATTATTCATGCTGTTCCCTTCCAGCTTAAACAGATGGTGTCACAGGATATTCTGTACTCTTCTGTCAGGCCAATAATATGTCCTTTAAAGATCATCAACATAAATGTGGTTGATGAGCAATGTTCTGACTCCTTTATCAGAGCTCAGCATCTTAATATATGTTATCCTTCACCTGCAAGAAGAAACTATGTATTTGATGGTCTTAGGCCATATGGCTTGTGAAATAAGGAAGAGGTACATCTCGTTCCCCATAATTCCTGAAGCCAAAGAGGTGCATTTCAAGATGCTGAATGAATTCTAATATGGATGATAACTGTTGTACTTTTTGTAGCTCTGAAGCAGAGACCACAGATCATTTGTTTTTCTATTGTAATCTTACATTAAACCTTTTGGGCATGTTTAAATGACTGGCTCAGGTCCAAAATTGATTTCTTGGCACCTTTTACTTTAGAAAACATCAAATTGTGTTCTGTTGCACATGAAGCACACGGCACCTAACAATGATCAGGTGGTAAAGACCACACTGTGAGTACACTTGTATATCAGGGTGGCAAAGTTAGAAGTTCAACCAGATCAGTAAAACTAGGATTTGGGCTAAAAGATAGGACTGGCAGTATTCTACAAGATGTTGAATTCTTGGTCAATAATTTTATAATTTTGACAAAATATTATATTCATAAATGTAAATAGAGTAAAAGGCAACCTTGTTTAGTTGCGTTTAAATATGAAATATCCACACTTAAGAAATCCCTGGGTTGCATGAGTGGTAAAGGAGCCTGGAATCTTTTATCTGCAATCAGTCACTTTGATTTACTCTAATCCCCTGGTTATATATGTTTAATTTAATTTATTTATTTCAGTTGATTTATTCAAGATATTCATCTGTGTATGATTTGTTGTTCAGTCCCTTGTGGGTTCTGTAGAGCCAACAAAGCTACATCAGCAGTTATCTCTCCCACCATTGTTTTTTTGGTTTGTAGACTAAAATTTACATCACAGCTGACGCAGAGCGACCTCGTATCTCACCTCTGGTGCGGAATGCCGGCCTGCTGTCTGAATTCACAGGCTGACCCGCGATTATACCGCCCTTAGCTTGATCTGTATGAACAGCACAAGGGCGGGATATTGGCGACTCTTTGGAACAGCAGTAGTGTGGGATCTCAGTGTAAAAACGGCTAGTAACTGTGGCTTGGTAGCAGAAATTAAGCTGAGTCCCTCATCAGATGCTGGCAAAATAAGTCACTTGAACATTGTACTGTGTATAAAAGATTGATCAAAGACAGTGTTGACATAGTGTAAGAATTCAGTGACTCATTTACAGTAAGTGCACTTTGTGAACTTGAAAGTACCTATGGCAGATTTGCTTGGTGGAAAGTGTGGTTTATGGGACTCCATATATTAGAACCACACTTAACACAGGCAGAAATGTGTAGTTCAAAGCCATGAAATAAATGTATGAATGTTCAAAATACTTAAGCTTCTCATACAGCCTGTTGTTTATTATAATTATGCCACATTTTGTGCAACCATATAGGTAATCAGATCTCTGTGAAGCAGAATCTCCGCCTGCAACATAAACATGGATCAAGAGCTCAAGCATGGAGTGCTGAAGACCAAACAAGAGGGGCATCCTTCTCCAAGACAAACAGTTCTGGCCACCCAATGGGATTCTGTGAAGTCAGTCTCCGAGGGCTTGGCCCAAGAGAGGGCGTACCAACAGCAACACATGCATATTGGCTACCATGATCAAAACAGATATGTACTGCCTCTGAAGGAGAATACTGACAACTTACAGCACTTTGATGGAGAGGATGAAGATACAAGTGACAAAGAAACTGAAGATCTTAAGGTTTATGATAGCCTAGAAGTACCATCACACCCTCCTGCAAAGAGGCACCCCACCCTCTTACAGACTGAATATTTGGATACACAAATAGATGAAAGACAGGGAACTAGGTAAGTTACACAATTTCTGTTTTGTCCAGCAAAATAGCAACTCCTGGTGATAACATCTGAGCAAGTACACAGCCAGCATTAGCTCCAGATAGAAGTGTGTTCTGTTGCACATGAAGCACACGGCACCTAACAATGATCAGGTGGTAAAGACCACACTGTGAGTACACTTGTATATCAGGGTGGCAAAGTTAGAAGTTCAACCAGATCAGTAAAACTAGGATTTGGGCTAAAAGATAGGACTGGCAGTATTCTACATTCTTCCTATTTTTAACAAACTCCACAAAAAGACTGAAGCCAACTGACCTAATTCATCTCTTTCATTCTCTCTGTCTGTGTCACTCAGCTCCAAATCTGGTGGCATTGTCATTTTTGGTAAACATGATTCAAAACAGGAGTAAATATTTTTGTGTGAATTTGGTGCAAGGTGGTGTGTGAGACTGAGTCAAAATAAACTACAGTGTGTGTGTGTGTGTGTTCATGGGTGAGAAAGGAACATAATATGGCTTACTGATAGATTTTTAATAGTTTTTATACAAAAGTAGAGCTCTGGCACAGGAGAGTGAGACATATCAGTCTCTGGATAGACTGACAACACAAATTGGCTTTGGTCTTTAATGAAACTTGATGATAATAAGAAAAATAAAGAATATCCCCAGACATATCCTGAATGACAATACAGAACTGATTTTGATACTCGTAGTTATGCAGTGTGGCCAGTAGGTGGTAGTAATAACGTTAGTAGCACAACTGCTAAAAACTGTTCAAACAGAACCTGATGCCTTTATTTTTTGGTGACAACAGTATAAAAATAGCTTTGCTAAATTAAATTTAATAAGTGGAGCATATATATTGTTGTGAAGAAGCGCTGACTGATCACGCTGTTGGCTGTGTAGCCTTGTCTTGTAGAGATTCAGTAAACATGTATCATTATAAACACTATTCAGCACAGTGAAATCTGTGCTTGACGACCTTGTTCAATTTGCTTATTGAACTGGACTGTCACATTCACTGTTTATGACAAATTAATTAAAATTAAGCAGATAATAGTACTGCTTAGATGAAATGCACCAAGAAGAATGGCAGCAGCAAACAAACCTTTTTCTTTTAAACAGCATGATAAAAGATAAATAGCCCTCATTCATCACTTATCAATGTAACACTGTCAGTTTTTTAATGAGATGAAGGGACTGATCATACATTGTAGTGAGAATGGCCTAATTCAGGTGCTTTCAGAATAACAGCTTTCATTTGAGGTCAATTAGATTTTTGTTTTGTTTGGGCGGATCACAATAAGTGGTCACTCATGGTTCATTAACAAGGGTTATCATTATTGTACAAGAGATCTCTCTTTTGAGGGAGCAGAGGGAAGCATCTATGGTAAGGACAACGCCTCATCTGTTTTTGTACTGTGGTCGGCTCGTACCGTTGTTTTCTCTTCTCTTCAGTCCAGACGCTGCCTGATAGTCATTTTCCCCTAAAATAGAAAATGGGTTTTCTCTGTTTCCCCATCATTAATCCGTGCAGATTGATGCCCGCCAAGTCTGGGTCTGCTTCCAAAGTACATTGTTTCAGAGGAAAATGACCATGACATATTCTCACAAAAGGCTCCATTTCATAGAGCTGAGGCAGTGGACACAGTCCCGTTCCCATTATCATCTTCTCATAGTCCTCTCTACTGCCTCCTCAAAGCGGGTAAGCCTTTTCACACAATGCCATCGCATAGTTTACAAACCCAAAGGGCATTCCTCATTCAAGCAAAAGATTCCTATTTAGGCAACTCCATTCATCCCTTTTTTACTATATTTTACACCTGTCTCACTCCACATATTGCAAAAGGATATTTGTGTATACTCTGTATGACCAGTTTTTTCATTTTCCTGTTCGATGTTTGTCACAGTATTTCCACTGGCTTTTGTATTAAGGCGTCTGTATCTTGGGCAAGAAATAATGAGCTGTGGTGTTTTGCCACTGTTAGAGGTGTCACGGCCAGCTGCATCTTGGCTATAATGCATTCTCCAACTTGTCTGAGTCATTAGAGAGACATCCCTTACCCTTTTGGCCTCATCGAAGTGAAGTGTCCTACACCTAGGCAACTCTCTCACCAATGCACAACATCACGGAAGGAGAATTAGGCTCCCCTCGTCCTCCCAGTAAGCACAACAAAGAGGCTCTCTGCTATTTATTTTAATGAGATCTTTTCATCACCATCAGAAAGAGCATTTTAGCCTGCAATTTTGAAGCCATTTCATAAGCTGAAAATTGCCATTTGTGAACCATTCCCCCGCTAGTAGCTCTCAAATACACTCTCATTAGTGATCCTAGAGGTGAAAATACGAAAATTATCTGTAAATACGGGCTCATAATCCCCCTCATCTGTTTCAATTTCAGAAGTCTCTGATAAAGCCCAGCTCTCTTTGTTTGACGACATCATGATTCTAATAACGGTGTAATGCCTCTTGTTCCTTTGACCTCTCGATAAAGGCCTGTGTGACATTCAGGTGTCTGTAAAACCTCCTTTAGATATGGAAATGTCACTACCAAAGCTGCTTATCAGCAATTAAATTAATTACCAATAATATCATTAAGAATATACTGTACTTACAGTGTATGGGCACAGTCTTTTTTTATAATTCCATTTAATTTCTTCTATTTGCATAATTAATTGAGCAATTGAGCTGTAACTTAGTGATGAAAGTATTAATCTCAGGCTGGTTTAGTTGAACATATAATCCTTGTTGTCTTTCTTTACCTCACAGCCAGCTGCTGTCTTATGATGCCTATTCTGACCTGCGCTATGACCCCAACTGGAGGACCAACCTAAGGAGAAGCGGCCACTTCCATGGGAGTCCGCTGATTTCCGAGGAATATTACCAAGTCCCTGAGGATAAATCTAGACAGTCACGTGCTGACAGACAGGGACTCAAAATAAATGGAGGCTATGCATACATTGACACAAGTTCAGCAATTGTGGTGACTCCTCAGAAGACTGACAGTGAGTCTGCCCAGCCGTACCACCTGCACCCGCAAGATGGTCAGACTAGCTCAGTAACATCTCCCCACTGTCATGACCATGCTTTTCAACTTAGATCACCCGAAGTTGACCTTTTAAGGTCACCCAGCTTTTCCACGAAAAATGAGAGTGACAACACTTTACAGAGAGGATTCAGAAAGAAACGTGAGAATGGCTATGACGGTGCTGGTGAAAATGTTAGCAGGGCTTCTGAGCTGACAGGAGATCTACGTGCAGTAGAACTGAGACGCACAAAAGGAGGAACCATTGAAGCACAGAAAATGAGCGCATCGACCTTGGCAAATCTTAAGGTTATATCAAACAAAAAGCTAGAAAGACAGAAGGAGGACATAGTGGAACGCAACAAAATAACTCTAGGGCGCAACACGTCCAGAAGTGGCTCCTATGTGAGGGTGCACACACACAAGCAGGAGACCCTTCATAATGTGAATAAGGTGTGTATAGAATGTAGTTTCCTCAACTAGTAGTATCTGCTTATGGTTAAAATTACTGAATGAGAAGTTGATGTTTTTAAGTGTGATAGCAAACGCAGACAGCTCAGTGATGTTCAGCCTTACGCAGCTCTCTTGAAATAAGCTACAATTACAGAAAACAGACACTAGGAGCTGCACTAGCACTGCTAATGATTCTTGGACTGCCGAGTTATGGTTACACTTACTTGATTTAGGAATAAGTTTGACTGGGGACAGAATACTGAAACTATTGGAAAAAGATATAATATTGAATCTACTGGCCTCCTTAAATTACCTTTTATCTTTTACTATTGAAATTGTTTTGGGAAATGAACAGAAGAGTTTGTGATTGACAGGTCTTAGATCCATACAGATGGTGGTAATGTTGTGTTGGTATGTATTTTATGCGGTATGTAGTAGTTGTAAATCATGACTGCAGTGACTTAACCCGTTGAACCTTAGCTAGATTCACTAATGGTATTCAGATCTAAACAGAGGTCAGTTGTGGGGGTCGTCAGTGCAGATGCACAAAGTATGCTGCTGTTTCTTAAAATGTTTTTTTATAGATCTGTATATACTGTGCACTCAGGTGATAAGAAAAGTAGGCAAATGTCAGTATGTTTACTGTTGAAAAGGTTATTCTAATCTTGGAGACGCTGTTAATGAGCAGTTGCTTGAATACTGCTGTCTCGTGAGCAGAACATAGGCCGGGATTGTTTGTTTCTTTGTTGTTGTTTTTTTTTTCTCCTACTTCTGCATCAGCCAAACATATGCTCATTTAGTAATAATACTGGTACCCTTTATTGTCATCTCAGACAACAACTAAGAAAATGTCCTATGATGTTGCTCTGACCCAGTCTGGAAAATTAATTTGGCAAAGGAGCATAGCTGTTTTCATCTGCCTTCTCCTCCACTATATGAAAAGAGCCATGCCTGGCTATGCAGTGGTTATTATGAGTTGATGTGTACAACAGGAACATCAGAGACGCATGGTTACCAATAGGCTCTTAGACATCCCTGCACCTGGCACAGTGGCATAATTGGTCAGGATGGCCCACATTCCCCATTTGTCGGGCCACAAGACTGTTTGCTGGATATAATACCCCCAACCTTGTTCACCCATCTGAGCCCCAGCTCTCTACAATGTCTCATATCATCACCATTTACATAGTCAAGAGCCGTTAGCTTTGTGCAATGGTAAACAGAGCCAGAGCCTTTCCCTCTCCTGAACCCTTATGTTTTGTGATTTTCCCTCTGAATTCACTTGTTAGTTCTCCATTGCCCTGCCTCCCCAAAGACGTGTCTTAATGGGGGGCACAGGGCATAAAAGAAAGGGGCAACAATTTGCATAGTCTGTTTCTTGTTTTCATTACAGAATTAATCCATGAACTGTGTGTGTTACTGCAGCACCATGACATATCAGCAAGGCTTATTAGCAAAAGTTGTGAAGCAAAGGCAACTGTATTTTTTAATAAAATAAACAGTGTGTTGCGACATTGTGATTAACAAGCCTACGTGGAAAGCCACATGAAAACATAATTAACACCAGAATTAACATAGTCAGGTTTCCCAAAAAAAAAGTAACATAAAAAACAGTTAACATCATGACAGTTAACAGTGTGCCATACGCTGGATTAGCATTCCTCTGCAAACTCAGTGTTTAAAGGATGTTTGACCCATCATTTGGTCCCAAAAGGGTATCAGGCCATGCTATCATAAATCATCAGTGCCTCATAACATGCAGAACTGTTTTTCAACCCTAACTGTTCTAAAAATGTACATCCAGTGATTCCACAGACAACATTACATGGGCAAAACGCAGGCCACCATGTTGGCTGAAACCCACAGGTACAGTTTAATCTGCTCAGTGCCAACAAGACAGCTAAGGGCCCCTATTTGCTTGCAGTAATTGGGATGTCTGTCAGTGTTATCTCTGTTCAGCCACATCGGTCGTTATGGTGCAATGAAGTATCAGAAGACCTAACACAACAAAAAGACTCAACTGTGCGTTCCAGAACCGCCCACCCGCTTAGCCTGCAGCCACACACCCACCACAATGGAACTTCTCTTTGACCTGTATTATTGGATAATTAGAGACTGAATTTTTGACTTGGTACATTTTGTTTAACTGTTAAATTACACTGAAACACACTGAAATCAAATGCCCAGACTAAATAAGACAGTGTCTTCAGGTTATGTCTCATGGTCAGACTGGATTTTGTTCTCTAGTTTGTTGCTCTTTAGTTTCACACACTAAATGAGCTATTGAGCAGCTGTGGAGGTAGAGCGGGTCGTTTCCTAACCGGAGGATTAGCGGTTCAATTCCCAGTTTGTCCAGTCAACGTGCCGAAGTGTCCTTGAGCAAGACACTGACCCCCCAGTTGCTCCCGGTGATGTCACCGGTGTGTGAATGTGTGAGTGTTTGGGAGTGCGAATGGGTGAATGGCCAAATAATGTGAAAGCGCTTTGAGTGTGCTGTAAAAAAAAAAAAAGCGTAGAAAGGTGCTATACAAGTATAAGACCATTTATTGATGATCAAAGAAGTAATATGAGAATTTTATCTTCTTCCATCAGTTTTCGATTTTTGGAAAATTCTATATTAAATATATATAGAGAGAGACATCTTAAAAAAACAAAAACACCTTTTTGTAATCTTTTATCAAAAAGCTTGCCCTGCTTCCTCCAGCTTGTTTGTTTCTCCTTGCACAAGATAGCCACATTGTAAATCGCATCAGTTTCACAAATCAATATGAGTCTAGTCCAGCCAATGGCTAGGCCCTTTTCAATAATCCATTTGGTCTTTTGAAGAAAGTGGCCATCTGAAGGCAACTTGTGATAATTAGACCTGTTATTAAATGTACACAATTTCCTAATGCAGCAAATGTTTAGCCCAGCCAAGTGGCAGAGCGGCGGTAGCAATGATTGGCTTCATTGGAGCTTGGGCCTCCTTTGATAAAGACAGAAGCAGCAGATCAATCTTCTGCTATTGCACTCAGACCTCAGAGTTCCTTGTCCTCTTGCGGGCCCTCACTTCAAAGCCAGGGGAACATAATGTACAATCTTTTAATAGCTTTAGACCAAAGCTCTAGGGAGCTCTCTGCCACTGTATACCCTGCCTCAGTCTAAACACCTAATCAAGATTACCTGGGCTGGCCACAATAGCAGCTAAATGCAATTCAAGATCCACAGCCCCTTTGAAGTCTTCATTGCGAAAAGCAGATGTTTCCTGGGTACAGGAGGTAATACAGCTAGCTGCAATTGCCAGACTTTGTTGTGACAGCGTCTCGCAGAGAAGCAATTAGGTGCCTCCCAATTTAATAGAAAAGATATTACACAGCTTACCGTGCTCAAAATGTAATACAGGCTTGATCATTTGCTTGAAATGATTGGGATTTTTATAATGGGGGACAAAAGGCAATGGCAGGGGGAATAGGTAAAGGTGAGAGGCACAAAGTGTTTGTGTGTGAGTGTGTGCGTGCACTGCCGAACATATAGTAGTCACTGACAGCTGCTCCAAATCTTCAAAGGATTGTCTGTAACTGCACCCAAATGTCTTAAAGCTTCTCTGGGACTGAACCTGTTAACCCCTAGGGAACCGGTACAGGGTCCAGTCGCACAGTACTATTTTGGGTATGTATGTTTAGGCCAGCCACACCTTTCAGCACCCTAGGACTTAAGAGGTTAAAGAAAGATTCCCCTGTTTGGATGGTGAGTTACAAAGCATCAGCTTGAAAGCCATATATGAAGGACCTTACAGCTTATATAATGAAGCAGCTTTAAGTGTGGGTGGTGCCCTGAACTTTTCTGTGGTATCTCAGCATAAGAGTAGCACCTCAGCCTATTAGATGCAATCACAAACCCACTTATTAATAGATATTGTTACAATTCAATCCACTGATTCTTTGTGACCTTCAGCTATTGAATCTCACAGAATTAGTAGCATTCAGTGGAAAAGTCTTCAGCCTGTCAATACCATTGATCCACTCAGATGGTCCTCTGCCACTGAGGGGAGTTTGCAAGTTAACTAATTGATTTTCATTAGAGCATTAATAGAAGATATTTCCACAAAACAATACATTAGGAATAACTGAAACAGTAAATGTGTGTAATATGGTAGACACTGATGGTAATGAATGCAATATTGATCCCCCTGCATAGGTGAAGATGTGTAGTTTTTACCAGGCTTTAACAAAGGCTTGTAGTTCATGGACAGAAAAAATATAAAGGATTTTTGTTTCAGTGTTCTTCTGTATCAGCATGTTGCTTGCTTTGTGTGTTCTATCTAAAGGCGCATGACTCTTCTAAAGAAACGGCCAGCACAGAAAATCAAGAGGATAGCTCAGATCCTGAGCTAATGTGGCTCCAGAAAACACAGCAGTTGCAGGTAGGAACCCCCCCCCCCCTTTTCACTTGGTTGACAATGTCAGTCAAAAATCCTAGTGCCATAATCTAGTAAACTCTAGTTTGTTTTGCAGCATCGTGTTGTATGGAAGCATAATTAGCTACATTGTAGTAAGGGTCACCTAACCGCTGCACAGCAGGAACACTAACAGCCTGGCTTTTAGTTTGCTTTAGGGTATGTGGACCCTTTCAGTGATGATGTTGTTGCAGTGGGGCTTGCCAGAAGTAATTTTAAAATAAAAAGAGGAATCAGATTGAAAAGGAAAGGATCGGAGAAGCATTATTATTTCTAACACTCGATCATCCACCTTAACACCACCAAGCAGAGGAGTATGATTTTTCCACTGGAATGGGAAAAGCTGGTGTTTGTGAAAATCAGCAGCATTAGATGCACGAGGCACATGCTCATAAACCTTCTGCTAAATAATTTGGTCAGATCATGCAAAGAAGAGCACCACCCCTTCTTATACTTTGGAAAAAATTGTGTCTTTTACTCAAAGCTCATGTTCATCTTTTGTTGAATTTGTGGAGCTGATGCTTTGCTCTTTATGTTGCCTTCACAAATAGCCCATGCTATACTTTGCAAATTAGCATATCTCACAGAAATTCAGAAGAGTTTAAAATATTCACATAATACCCATTTATGAATATGACAGTGGCAAAATTAGACCCATATTTAGAGGTGCTTGTCTGGTATTAAACAGTATTGCATTTGGGATTTTGCCTTGTGTCTTGGTTTTGTGAATTAACACTAATGTCGATCTTTTATTGCCAACATACATTGACGAAAAAATGTTGTCCTCAAACCCCATGTCACCCAGCTCATCAAAGGGAAGAAAGCCCAGTGGAAAGAATATCCCAGCCGCTCTCGACAACAGCAGCCCCCTGCTCCAGGGGTCAAAGCTGAGCAGGAAGAATGTTTGAGCTCACCATTAGCAAGGCTTCCTGCTGTAACTCAGCCACAACCTCCGACAACCACTTCAACACAGCCCTTGCCCCCCACCATCCACCTCAGCATCAGTCTCAACACTTCATCCCAGCTTCTTTCCTTGCTCCAGCAGAAGGGCCAGGATGCCACCATCAGCTTAGCATCTCTTCATGGTCATCATCCTTGGAGCCTTGAATCCAAAGTACAACCATCCTTGTCCCAAGGGTATCAACAAACAGATCCAGGAAAGAGCACCCACATGTCTGGGGAATGGCTAAATGCCGAACGTCACCACCGACACCTGGACAGTAGCCCTGAACAGTGGCAAAGGTGAAGCATTTATACTGTTTTTAGTGACCAGAGATGAGAAGATATATTGTACACTACAGCAATCACAACGCACAACTTAGACCACAGCGGTGTGGTCTACGTAAAATGACAGAACCTGCACTGAGACAAGGAAAATGAATTTAAAAATATGTCTAGCAAATGCCATATATACAATTGTAATAATGATATTTGAAATATCACAATATAAATGTTAACTTTTTATGGATTATGATGGGACCTTTGCATTTCAGGACAAGTGCATTAAATGCGCCGCTGTCTTATGAAGGAGAGGACCAGAATTGGAGTCCAAATGAGGTTCACACTAAACTTCCACAAAACTGCCGCTGGACACCCACTAATACTTTGTCACACAGCCCACATTCTTACGCAGTTCTTCCAGCTATAGGAAAGCCAGTGACAGGAAAAGATCCTGAGCTAAGCCCTGGTCAGTGTGTGAAGACAACCTACCCCCTCCATGGCAACACCTCTAACAGCTACCTGCTGCAGATGGAGAAACAGAAGCAGCTGAGGACAAGAGTTACTTATAAGGTTGGTGTGTCTGTGTGAGCTTCATTTGTGTCCTGAAAGGAGAGGCACTAAGTGGTGAAATGTTTTCTTTGCTGTAGAAGAGTCATATGTGTTTCTGTAGTGTATTTTTGTCTGTCTAAAACTATCTTTATGTCTGCCATCTACTGTATGACACACAGATACACATGCTCACAATTAGTGTGGAATTTATGCATTGTTTATAAAGTGGCTGGCACAGGTCTTAATGAAAATATGTGCTCTCAAATCAGCATGAAAATTGTGTCATTGACATAATTCCACTATGTAGCCTTAAATGGTAACTAAATAGGCTGCAGGCTGGTTCTTACTGCTGCGACATAAACATTCAGTGACATGGAATAACTTGGTTTGTCTGCGAGGTAATAGCCATGTAGAGTATATACAAAAAGTTGACAAAAATGTACCCTATTCAATTGTCCCCAAGCATTTACAGGCTATTTTAAAGAGAGCTCAAAGTTCCAAAATTTCACACAAAGCATACTGAATACTTCTGTTGAAGAAAAATAACACATTGTGCAGTTTCACCTCACATAAGTTACACATGAATTCTTAAACAGAGTGGTATTCCCCTTTAATCCCCACATACACCAGAGGTTACACAAATGAATGCCCCTTTGAAGTCCCCAGTAATCCCCTCAGCTGTCTGGACTGCTTAATCCAACCAGAGTGTTTCAGCGAATAAGAGTACAAAACATCAGGTTAATTGTCTAGCTCTACTAAGATACACTTAATTGCTATAAGATGATGACTATATAAACCGCAGAGCTGCAAGCTCTGAAAAACCATTTGAAGATGTGTTAGAGGATAAGGTGATTAGAAGGGAGAGAGGCTGTGAGGCACAGGGCCACTAAAGATGTCCATTTGCATGATCATTGCAATGATTTGGCTGTTGTTTTTACCCTCTCCTTTGATTTGTGAGAACGAGCTGTGCAGTTGGGTCCTGAGTAATGACTCAGCAATCCTGCCCGTTCCAAGGTAGTTCCATACTAGTCTACAGAGTAGCCATATTTATGTCATGGCTCCAGGAAGTACTTGTTTGACAGGTGAAGCTTGGTTCTGGTTATAACATATGAAAACAATGTACAAGGTATACTGTATTTAAATACAAAAATAGGCCTACTGTTGCAAAAATACTTTGTTTTACTAGTCAAGTGTCTCTGGAGAGGTTAACCTTAGCAATTGTGTAAACTTTTAAAATATTAATATTTTAAACAATTGCAGGAAAGAGGAGAATTTAGCTAGCAACACAGACAGATTGATTATATGTACAATGTATCCTATTTATTTGATGTTAACGCTAATAATGTTATTTTTAACAGTGCTAAGTGTTCTATACTTTCCATACCACCTAACAATAACAACTGAATTAGGTGGACCCACGAAAGGCTACAAAGTATGGTTAACTGTATGTAGCTGTATTCACACTGGAGCCTGACATAGCTCTCCTGTGGCGCCCACCGCTCCCCACACCTTGACCTCCCATCTCTCTCCACCATGTTAGCCATCATGTCTGACGAGATTACAGGCTCTATTTGTAAAGCAGTTTGGCTACAGCATGAAAGCAGATGAGCGGGACTTAGGGGTTGGGGAGAGAGGGGAGAGGGCTTGGAAAGAAAGGTACCCTGTTGTGTGCACGGCCAGTGACTAAAGCAAACTGAAATCCTTGTTCCAAAAAGGAGCCAGTACAATCTAGAATGATTAGTTCTCTTTTGTCTGGGGTAGCTTGAGAATTTCATGCACACATTGCATATACACATGGTCACACACAGAGCATTATCATCACCAGCACCTGCAAAGGATCAGGTATGCAGTACCTATGTATCTTTGGCCATATTACTTGTATTACTTGAACTTCAGCTCACCACCAGTGTGCCTAGGAAAGCACTTTATGTATATGCACTATATAAAAAGCTGTATATGGTGCTAAGGTGAACTCTTTTAATAAAAGCTCACACACTGTTTACACACTCTAGGTTTCTAGTTCCATGTTAATGAACTTTGATCTTCCTAGTAAATAACACTGATGCACAAATGAATATAAAATAGTAATACTTAAATAATACATTAGGCAGTTAGCATGACATGGACAGCCACTGTGCTTGAGCAAACAGAAAAGAGCACTACTTACAGAGATGCAAATTTACTATCAACATCCACAGAAAAAGACATCATAATACAGAACATGTTGTTTGACTGAGAGGTGATATCAATGAACAACAGTGCACAAGCAAGCATCCCTGAATCACTTTAATATAAAAATGTCATTAAACTAAATCAGAAGTCTACAGCCATGCCATGTTTCTGTTAGCGTGGTCAAAGGTCAAAGTAGATGAGCAATAACACAAATCTAAATAGGCAGGAAAATCACAAATCTAAGGCACTTTAAAGTGCTTTTAGCTAAATACTAAGGTCAGCGACATGCTCACAATCACAATGCTAACATGATGATGTTTCCAGTAGCAAGCTTACTTCACCATTTTACTTTAGTTTGTTAGCATACTAACTTTCACATACTGTAGGTCCGGGCTTCAGCAGCCACATCAAGGCTATGACAAAATCAGCATTTTATCACTTCAATTCAATTCAGTTTTATTTGTATAGCACCAAATCGCAACAAAGGTCATCTCAGAACACTTTACAAAGACCTTACTATTATTATTATAATTATAAAGGCAAATCCAACAGATCTCCCTTGAGCAAGCCTTTGGCGACAGTGGTGGGCGGCCTTCTGCCTCGACCGGTTGGGGTAAGTGAATAGAGGAGAGAGAAAAGAAAAGAAAAGCAACAAGACACAACAAACAATCAAACACTGGTCGGGTTGATGTGGCCAGTGAGTGCTCATCAGAGACATAGAGCTCCAGAGCCAGAGCAACCTGCAGAAAGGTACAGGGAGAGAGAGAGGACACACTGCGGGAGAGAGGAGACACAAAGTTAGTGATGTGTAATTATGACATATATGATATATGGTGATTTTATTTTTCTCAATGCACCATTTGAATCCTATGAGAGACATCAAAATTGCACCATCCAAGATGGATGGAGAGGAGAGGAGAGGAGAGAGCTCTGCATCATAGTACAGCCCTCAGCCTAGGTCTATAGCTAAAGGATGGTCCACCAAACCAAACCTATCCGAAATGCATGTCTAATCATTTCATAGACACCACTACATGGGCCCAAGCGAAGGCCGTCCTGTTGAATAGAAACCACTGGTACATTAAATATACTCGGTGGCAACAGGACGGCCCAGGCCCCTTGTTTGCCAGTTACCAAGACGGCTGTCAGAAGACAACATGCTAAGTACCTTTCTACCCTCCCTCACTGTCCTACTAGGATTATATTGAAAAACAACAACGCTATATTAACCTAACTATAAGTTTTATCAAAAAGGAAAGTCTTGAGTCTAATCTTAAAGGTAGAGAGGGTGTCTGCCTGCTAAACTGAGACTGGGAGCTGGTTCCACAGGAGAAACATAGCAAGATGAGGAATTAGTCAGCTGGTAGAATATGAAGTCAGAACCAACCAGACCTCATGTCTGTTCCATTTCTGTGAATTTGACAGGTCAGCAGAGGCATACAACAGCAAAGCAATAATTCTAGTTTATATATATTTCTCCATACAAAACCTGCAGTCCCTCAAACGGCCACTAGAGGCTGACTCCTAAAGGGAGTCAATCCCCAGAGACTCCCATGTTAAAATGCTCAACTTTCCATCAGAAATAAACATGTTTACAGCCTGGTACAAAAAAGATTTTAGTCTCTTTACCTAATTTCTCCTTCCATGACAACTGTACAGGGGGTGAACATTTTATAACTGGCCTATTTAAGTTATATCGAGACTAAAAATTACACATAATTAAGGGTGTGGCTGCTTTGAGTGACAAGCAGAAGGGTCATGCCATAGGTATCTGGTCGCAAGCTGTCTAGCAAGCTCAACTTACACTCCACCTCTTTGCCCTTTTTTGGATTACACGTAGCAGGTGAACTGAAGCGCTACCAATATGGTGGTGGCCAAGCTTGAGCTTCAGAATCACTCTTCAGAAAACCAGTGGGTGACATCACAGCTTTTATATACAGTCAGTGGGATGCAGTAGTGTCCCTCACCCATCGTTCTCAACTAACAGAGCACCTTCTGGAAATCTTTTATAGTGTAGTGTGTTTTGTAATGTTTGATCAGTGTTTATACTGTACATGTCCACATGTTGTTGTGAAGAAGAAAGGAAGGGGTGTTACAAGATGTTTAGTGAAGACAGTGTCAGTCACACAGAAGCCCTCTCTCACTTTGTTGGCTGCCAGGCATATGTCTATCATTTCCTGTATTATTGGTGATTTTATTTTTCTCAATGCACCATTTGAATCCTATGAGAGACATCAAAATTGCACCATGAAATTGGATCAAAATTGCAGTCTGGGATTTATTGTTTTTGTCATGGTGCCATTTTGACAGCCATAAAATCAAGTTCAGTTTGACAAAGGTCTGCTTCAAATTAAGTAATAAAAAGTGTCACTTTGTGTTTGATAGCACAAATAGGATTTGGCTATTGCCAGCATTCAAACTTCAGACTCTCCTTCTCTCTCTGTCTCTCTCAGGCATACTCTCTGAAAGACTACAAGCAGTTGAACCTAGATATAAATCTGCGAGGTCTGGGTCCTGACTATGCAGCCATTGAAAAGACAGTAAGTACTGACCTGCAACATTGGGCATTGTCATATCAGAAGCTGCACAACTAGATTACATGGCTGTGAATACAATTTGGCTGTATTGACCTTGGTGTTTAGAGGGTGGTAGTGTATCCTGTATTTTGGATCACAACTGCTGATAGGTCAGTCTTGGTTGTATTTTCCCTGAAACTTTAGTTTTGGTAAGGTGGAAAACTTCCAGAGAGGTGTGTGCCCCACACTGAGATCTTAAGACACCCAGCGAAAACTCTTGTGCTGCAGGTTCCTTACAGACTGACAAGAAGAGATGGTCAGATTTACTGTATGTATGGAACATGATCATAAAATATATCAGAAACAATTCAGGTATTTTCCTCAAATATTAAAAATATAATTGATTAAATGCAGATCCAAACAACATCTTGAAGAATGAGGATGCTGAGTAGATGATTTATAATAAAACAGCAACATAGGGTCAATGTGTATTGTATGTATAATGAAAAATAAGCCAGACTGACCCATCCAAACAGGTACACACACATATGGATACACTGTATGTATACATCCATCTTATGATGAATTATAGCTTGTCACTAATGTGAGGCAATAACAAGAAAGCTGTTCAACATAGTGCAACTATTTGTTTTTCCTCATCCATACACAGTAGGCAGTAGGTGAAGTTGTGCCAGAAGTTTTTGCTTTGCACTAATGAGTCAGAAATCTGCTACAGCATGTACGTAGCATCCACATGTCTGCTTTCCGTATTTTGGAGCCTCTTTGGCCTTTAATCGGTTTTCTTATCAAAAAAGAGAGTGATACAGAAGAACATGATACAAAGGCTGCCCTACAGGTTATACTGATTTGTGTTTAGGCAGTGTCAGCTGAGTAACTTGTACAGAAAAGAGTGATTAAAATTCAGCTGGACAAACATGATTAGCTGTCTCCTGTGCCTAAATACTGACGTTCACTATCAGCATTGTGTATCCGCTGACCCTCTTCATATTGTTTGAGTTCATTGTTCAAAGGCCCCCATGTTGTTTCACACATAAAATTACATGTACAAAGCAAATGAGAGTACCCTTAAGTTAAGAGATATTTATGCTTTGATATATGTGTTTGGACAGGTTAAACCACGTTGAGACCTGTCTGTCTCCAGGGCCAAGCCTGTTAGTGAATGATATGTGTAAATGTTGAATGGACAGCACCGTTTGGTTTTGTTGTGTAGTGTGGAGAGGCTCTGCTGAGGGGATACACAAAGAGAAGGGCCTTAAGGGAGAAATGGCTCAGTTAATTAAACCCTGTTTTATAATCTGCTTCTGTTTCTCTCTCCCTTTCTTCTGTCACACTCCCCTCTCACTATTTCACCATCATCATGCTGAGAAAATGAAGCGACAGAAGCTGTATTCAAATGTGATCTGTGAGCAGAACAAAAAGATAAGTAGGATTCCCTTTCTTCTGCCTAAGGACCCGGAAGGCCATGACAAGAAAGTTCCCAGGATTAAGGTGTGTGAGCGTGAGAGAGAGAGAGAGAGAGAGAGAGAGAGAGAGAGAGAATTGTAGCACACCTCTTTCAGAACAGGACTGTCTGTTTGTGGTTAGTTGAGAGAGACACATTTTGACTTAGCAAAATGAAAAAGAACCAGACACTGTACATTAGAGAAACAAAACCACGACATGTACAGAACGTGATGTGGTGGACAGATGTTTTGCAGCTTGTGGACGCTAAGTAGTAAGTACATCTGCATATACGTATGTACAGCATACAGTACATGTCTCTCTTTTTTCTTGGTCAATTTTAGGCCTTGGAATATGCCAAGACTATAGCCAAACCCCCTGTACAGTCTCAACCAAAGCAGAAACAGAAACACCCGTCTGGAGGCTTCACTGACGATGATCCTTACTTGGAGGAATTGGACGTGTCCCAGCTGGCCACGCTGGGACTCCTTAGGAAACGGCATGAAGAAGAAAAGCAGGCTGTGGCAGTCTTCAAAAACATACACGCTGTTTGAGGTTGCTGTTCGTGTAAACAGTCCATGGAACCCATGTTTATACTCCCAGGCCTAGGAGACGTGGGTCACAACATGCCGCTTCATTACATTAGTTAGGCCCGGTGTCATATCAACAAATCATTCATACATATACTTTTATATGCATTACTCTTTCATGCACTGGAAATATAGATAATCTTTGAAAAGCCTGACAGCCTCAGCCAGTGCCTTGTGTTACTTTGAACACTGTGCTACCAGGTCATGTTTTACATTGGATAGCTTTGGTGCACACATAGAGGGCGCTGTTCTCTGAGCACAGACGGACATAAAATGTCAAAGTTTCTGAGGAGGATAGAGGAGAAAAGAGGGAAGCTTGTTGATAATGACTAACGTTCTTGCCCTCTACATTAAAACCAACAAAAATTTTTTTGTCAAAAAGCAGTTAAAAAAATACATAACAAACACATGCACATACTGTATGCTTTGTATCAGAATGTTAACATGGTTGGAAAAATATCTGGTTTTTGCTCTGAAGAAGAACACAAGCAGTAGCGTCCACAGACAGACACTCCCAGTGAGCTCGACCATGGTCTAATTTGCTTTAGGTAACTCTCTCAATGTTCTGCAGTTAATATGAAGTACACTATGGCAAAAAATAAACTAAGTACTCACATTGTTTCCTGATGTCTGAACAGTTGATGTCATAATGACACAGTGTCATGTCTGGCAGAGATGATAGGCTGTGCTGTGAGCTCTTTGGTCAAGCAAAGAAAGCAGGCTGATTGCCTCTTGTTGTCCCTTCAGTTTCCAGGAAGCATGATTATAGTAGGCCTAGTGGATACCCCACTCCGTTACTTCTACAATAACTCAGCTTATGTACTTCTCTAAGTGTCTGGTTTCCTGGAATGGATAATGCTAATATCAAGAATATACAGTACAAATGATTTCTGGTGTTTGTGTTGCCCATAGATTCCAGAGAAATGCCACCAGTATATTTACAATGGTCAGTTTGTAACTTGGATTTTGGAATTTGTTTTTGCACTAATCCTGGCAGTCACATTAGACTTTTGTCAAAGAGAAGCCTCAGTAGAACTCATTCTCAAAACTGTCACCAAGACATATTAGATAAAGTGAAATTAATTTTCAGTACCCACATTTCTGAAGTACTGAGCTACTAAAGAAGAAGCAAAGCGCAAGCATTAACTGACTGTTAAAGGAGCTGCTGCTTCACCACTTTAGGTACTGATCTGAATTAAAAAGTGAATAAAAAGGTGGAGACTCTTTTCTGAATCCATGCCATATGATTGCAGAAATAACTTCTCTTCAGTGGAGCTTTCTGCCCTAATAAAAGAACTGAAGGACAATTATGCTATAATAATAAAGCCTGCAGATAAAGGAGGAGCAGTTGTTTTGGATTATGGGAAATATATTACAGAATCTCATAGACAATTCTGCAATCCTTATTATATTGAAGAGCTTCTAACTAACCCTCTTACCCCAAATGACAGTAGAATTGAGGCTTTTTTTACATAATGCAAAACGTCAGTGCTGGATTAATGATGTATGTTGTGTGAACATCCTCAGCTGTGCAACGTTTTACATGCTACCAAATACCACAGGTCATGGGTTCAGTATTCATTGGAGTGATAGGAAGAAACTGTCCCTGTGCCTGGTTGTCTTGGTGCACAGTGACCTGTAACGCCGTCCAGAGGGGAGGAGTTCAAACCGTTTGTGTCCAGGATGTGAGGGATCTTCTCTGCCCTCCTTTTGACCCGCGAGGTGTACGGGTCCTCTATGGAGGGCGGGCTGGCACCGATGGGTCTTTCTGCAGTCCTGACTGTCCGCTGAAGTCTGTTACTGTTTGGTTGCTGAGCCAAACCAGACAGTGATGGATGAGCAGAGAACAGACTCAATGATTCGGATTCCTCTGGTGGGGGGCTCCTAACGTTTTGAGAGTGTTCAGGTGTTCAGGCATCAGGTTGTTGCGCCCGCACCACAGGACCAGCTGCTTAGCCTCCCATGTACGCAGACTTGGTTATGAATGGAAATGAAAGGTTAAAAAGAGCAGCGAGTACATGTACACGTTTGAGTACCATTTAAAAACACTGTTCCAGTGTACTGCACGAGACAGAAATTTTAGATCTAAACATTAGATAAATATATAAAACAATACACCACAATTGTGCCTCACCTGTCTTTGTAATTGTGTCTATATCGGACACACCAAGAGACACCTGACAAACGACTGAGTGAACACCAGTATGCCGTCAGAACAAAAACTATGGATTAGGGAACCACATTTTGCTGAACGTCACTCTTGAAAGGACTAGAAGCCATTGAACATATGGTCAGAGGAGGTCTGAATGAAGAAAGAGCCCTTTTTTTATAACATCATACTTTGTTCTCAGGGATGAGGGTTATATTACTTTGATGGGATTTGAATTTGGTATGGTCTTCATGTCTGGATTTCAATGTGGTGTCTGCTCTGTAGTGTTTTCAATGATATTACTTCCGGGGTGCCATCTATAAAAAGTATCAGCTGCAAACCATCAGTTTTAATATTTCCACCCTAATGAAAACCTGATGAGGTCGAAACCAGCCGCCGATTTTTACTGAGATGCCCAATTAACTAAGAGATTTTTGACATAGTCCGTGGTCCACCTAGGAGTGCCTGAGGAACTTTGTTCCTGTTTTTGATACATTTTATCTTCAGGAGCACCTTAAGTTTTTTTTCTGGATTTACTGGGAGCTTGTGAGCACGAGGCCTCCTCTCCTTTAGCACTGGTCTCAGTTAGTCTGAATGAACAGTTCTCCTTTGCAGTACTGAAATGTTTCTGTCATTACTTGTCTTGGAGTTGATTTTTGTTTAGATTTAGCCTGCTAATCGTTGCAACTGTGCATGGAACAGTAACACTAATGTTATGCTTGACTGGGCAGTGTTGTGCATTTCTCACTCACTGAGAAACACAGTTTTGATGACACTAAACCTAAGCAAAAGAGATTTTAGTATTTTCATATCTTCTATCTAATATTTTAATCTTCTCTACAAGCAAACGTTGCTGGTACCAAAACATCCAAATATAGAAAGCGCTTGTAACAAATTAGCTCTAGTTATTGTCATGATTCGGTTCCGCTGCTTCCCGTCCGGCTTTTATTTTGACGTTACTTCCTGTTTTTGTTTCACCTTAGTTTCGGTCTTTTTACGTTCTTCATCACTCACATTAGTTTTACCTGCTTCGTTATTGTTTGCACCTGTTTACACCTCTATTTAGGCAGCGTCCTCCCACAAAGACACTGCCAGATTGTTCTAGACCCCAGCTCTGACTTTCCAGCTTTCCTTCGGTTTTGGTATCTTGTGTTTCTGACCCGGACTGCTTCCTTGGATTATTCTGTTCTGCCTTGCCCTCTTATTTCGGACTGCTTCAGTGTATCGGCTTAACGGACTTATCTTTGGACAACGCGTTTTGGATTCCCCTGGATGTATGTGTTTGCTGGCTCTGACCTCGGACTGTTAAGGACATGTAGGTTTTGTGTTTTCACCGTGTCTTGTATGGTTTTCTTTTGTTCAACGTTAGTTTTCTTAATAAAGAGACGGTTTTGTTTTACACTTCCTCGTCTGGCCATTTAATTGAGTTCACCTACCACTTTTCGGCCGCATTACGCGCCGTTTCTGACAGTTATTGCAGTCTCTCTGTACCTGAGGTGGCCTTTTGATACGAGATTTGATTCTTGACAAAGCTGCACATCAGTGAAAGTAGGTTTTAAGGCAATCCTTCTACAGGCAAAAGATCACATGACAGAAGTCAGTTTGACATGAGTGTGAAGAAGAGCTGATCCACCCCACAGAGCTGCATGCACTTCCTAAATGGCAGTAATGAGTCTTAGCACTGCGGGATGAACGTTGTTGTTGTCATCTTTTAGAACAAACTTGTTATCCATGACTAGGTGTTGAGATCATACAGTCTGGTTAAGATGAATGGTGAAGCAGGTCTATTCGTATGGAATAAGGGTTGGTGCATGTTTACGATACTACTGGACGTGTGAAGTGAGCAGACACAACCATGTGCACATGATATTTGTGCCTCTGACTTGTGCCTTAGTGTATGGCAGCAGTGGCACTGAGTGGTTTTCATTTTCATGGTAGTTCACTTCCCACCTCAGACCAATGGCAGATGCCCACACTTTATTTTATGGAAGAAAACTGGTGATTGCTATGTTATTTCAGTCCTAGTGTCAGTGATTCTGCTATTTTCCTTCATTTCTCTAGTTTTACTGTCGAAAGTCCTGCTCAAATGAAGGATGGCACTTTAAAGTTAATCTGATGTGGTTTGCGTTTTATGGATATGCTCTAAGCAGTAACTCCTCCCCAACACAAAACACACTCAAACGGCTCATTTTACTAATTGAACCCTCAGATCATTATCAAAGCACTATTTACCTCTGTGCAATATTTTAATTAGATTATAGTCTCTATTTAACCCATCACGGACTCTTTGAAGCTCTGTCTTTAGTGTTAAGTCCTCAGATGCGTGGGTGAAAACAAATGAAGCCCTTTTTAATGTAATGACAAATGTTGCCTATCCGCACGGAGTCTTTCTCCATCTTTTTTTTTGGGTCCCACCTACTCATTTTTTTGCCATTGAAATCCAGTTAATTGAAGGCTTCTTTCACCACTATACATGAAGGGGCCAAATTAGCATCCCTTTCTGCCCATTGGGAAGCGAAGGCAGACGTGGATGCTTTGATGTGAGAAGCCCGCTTTCAGGAGGCGGCAGGCTTCCTGAAAATGAGCTGATGGCCCTGCTATTAGGCCCAAATGCAGATGCGTCCATGTGTTGCAAAACGCGTAATCTTTTAATTGATCACCTTCTGCATGGCCTGCTCCCACCATAGCTTTCGCCGCTGCCTGTTAATCAGAATCCCATTTTGAAGAAGACATGAATTGCTGTTCAAAAGGCGGAATGTGCGCATCCAGCAGGCAGGACACGATTGCCTGTTACTGGGCAATGAAAGATGCAGCGTGAGGTAAAACCTCTTAATACAGTACTAAATGCTGGGTCTTACATGTGCTTCAGATTTTATGTTAATACGATAGACATGAAATCGCACTGAAATAGTACAAAATGCTTTTTCCCGTCTGCCACGTTTATTAGACGCAGGAACGACTGCACGGAAATTCCAGCTCCAAATGATCAACCTGTCAAATTACATGACAGAGAAACAATCTTCTAAATTCTCTAGAATGTCGAGGGTCGCAAAGTGTGTTAACATTCGGGTTGAACTGGTTTGCTGGACTGACGTTTTTCCTGTTTTGTCCTAAAGACTCAAAGTTGTCTGTCAGCAGCAAAGCGTGGTGAACACCCGCTCCTTCGTCCTGCAGCCTGGATGTGAAGGTTTATGTTGACACGCCGAAAACACCAAATATATCTAGATTGGTTTATAGCTAAACACATTTTTCGGTATACTAATTTCTTGGTACAGGTTATTACTTATGTGCTTTTTAGGCCATATAGAAATGTGCATACTAATTTATTAGTGACACTGACCATAGTGATTCAAATAAATGATCAACATTTTATAAGAAATAATCAGGCTAGTGGATCTCAGGATTTGCCCGTACAGGCCAAACTGTGCCATTCTCTAGATCTGGGACATGCAGCTCAGACGGTGTAGCAGCTGAAGAACTGAGGTCTTCAACACTCAGTGGCCACGACAGAGTCCAGCTTTGGTTTGTCATTCTGACAAACCGAGCCTTTCATTTTGCGTGAGAAAGTGAACATTGTGAGGAATACACACGGATCTACTTTCCGTGCAGCCTTGAGCACGTCTGAGGGCTGCACACTATCTGGACTTTCTTTCCGCCAGTATTTTGCGTTTCTGTTTGTTGGCTTAAAGCACAGCGGGCTCCGGGCCACCATGCAGGAAAGCAGTGGAGAACAAGCAGCCCCTCATTCAAACCCGAGCTTCACGCTGTGAAGACGGCGTCCTAATGCAAGTGGGTCTGACCGCCGACCACGCCGCACCACCACATGCACCTGCGCAATTTAAACAGTAACATTAATGCTAGATGGTTTTTCTACATCACCACTGCTCCGCTGAGGTATGGAAATGTCAGCAAGAATGAAAGTTGGCTTCAGTTACGGACACACATAAAAGATCTAACAGAATAAACGGAGCCGAAATTCGATTCATTATTTTATACTGTATACTATTTACATGTACACACAGAAATATAAAGGGCGGTCACTGAAGTAGTCTCCGACCAGAAGTTCATTTAGAAAATGTCCAATATTGTAAACAAAATGAAAAGAAATATCAATCCACAAATCGAAATAAAGATTAAAAAATGCTATAAAGGATAGCATGGAAATTTTCGTTTGTGATGAAAGTGCAAAAGGATGAGGTGCGTCCATGTTACAAAGCAAAGAGCTTGGCTCATCTTTCATTTCTACAGATTTTTAGACTGAAAAAACAAAAACACGGAAATAACATTTCAAAATAAACACGTGTAGAATTATAACAATGATAATGGTAATAAGCTGCCATTTCTATATTCATATGGAAGGAAAGGTTAAGTGTTATCTACAATATATTTACAGCTTATAAAACAGCTCTGCAGCCTACTATAGTATATGGTCCGGTGAGCAAATGTCATCCTCGATATCCACGTCGTCGTCGTTTTCCTCCAGCATGTACGAGTCCGGCTCCAGTCCCTGTTTGAGCTCCTCCGCGCTCTTGTTGTGCAGCTCGCTCTCGCTTGAGTTCTCCCCGGACCTCTCCAGCTCCCCGGGCGTCTTGCGCTCGTCCTGCGCTTTCCTCAGCTGCTTCTTGTGCTTCATCCGCCGGTTCTGAAACCACGTTTTTACCTGCGGCGGGAAAAGTAAGAAGGGTGTGAATTTGAAAAAGGACTTTAAAACGCAACGTGTTTCTTATTGGCTTGTAGCGAAATGTTCCAAGAAATTCTAAAAATGTAGCCCAAAAATATTTTAACATGTATTTTCTGGGCTCTACCACAGAAAGAGGAGGTGAAATAGAGATTATTAATAACGACAATAATAATTATTATTCTCTTGAAATTTCGCATAAACGGCAATCGATCTGTTGTGAAACAATAGCTTTTTGCTAAAATGTACTGTTCCGCGCATCTTCCACAGTCATCCTACTAAACGGGTTATGTAGCTGGAGGACTGGTCATTCTCTGTAGCTGCTATTATTTTATCAAGATTTGAATTTTTTTTTTTACACGTGTCATTTGTGTGACTGCTACATTTTGGGTTGTAAGCAGAAAAATAAAAAGCATTCAGAAACTGCTAATTTAACAAGGACATCCGAGATTCGCCTAAGTGCACACGCTGAACCCCGTGTGTGTGTGTGTGTGTGTGTGTGTGTGTGAGGCCCACTTGTGTCTCGGACAGGCTCAGCGCTGTGGCCAGCTCCACTCTCTCCGGTGTGGACAGGTACCGTTGGATCTCAAACCTCTTCTCCAGGCCGGACAGCTGCGAGTCGGAGAAAACCGTTCTGGCCTTCCTGCGCCTGCAGTGCTTCCCTGGTAACTCGGCGTGGTGCTGGAACAAGGCCGGCATCTGCATCCCTACGGGTAGAGGAGACCGTGGTTGGTAATGACAGCCTTACAGAACTAGCAACCAAAAACAGACGAAAACAAACTAAAACTCTTATTAGCCTGTATCAGGGCAGCCATGTCCACTGTGACGGAATTAATATGTTCTTTTTTCAGTGTCCTATTATTTAAAGAATAAGTATTATTTTATGTATTTTAATAATTGTCTTTTAAAACGTTGGGCATGAACTGAAGCTTTAGGAGCTAAAACCAGTGTTAGCCTGTACCTTTACTCCAGTAAAGGAGGACGTATCCTGACAAATGACCCCGAACAAGACACAGGTTGTTGTTTCTACAAATGTTTGCAGACTGGAGATCAGAGTTCAGACAACTTTTCATGTAACCCAAAGCCACATTTTCTGTGTGAAGAGACACATTTCAGCTGTTCTGTTCCCAAACTCAGTAATGCGGGGTCAGCCTATGTAAACGCACAGATGAACTACTGGCGGTGGCTTTTCTACTGGAATAAACAAAGCTTTGCGTTCACTTTTTAAAGCAGTACCGCTACTTGCTGTCCGAGGCTCCCCGCGCTTACCAGATGTGAAGAAGTACTGGTGATGCTCGGGCTTGTGGAGAGGATGGTGCGCATGTGGCGCCAGTATTGGCGTTGGCATCAGTGGGTATCCATACTCAAGGATGGGCATCCGGGAGGCCAGGGAGCTACAGAACGGCGAGGGAATGACATCCCTCAGTGGCTTGGGTTTGTGCAGTAAGATATCCTCAATGAAAAACGAAGTCGACCTCTGCGTGGGCGCCGCAGACGCGTAGTTCAAACTCATGATGTTAGTTTAGGTTTGTTATTTTCCTGCCTTCAAACCTGCATCAGCATCTGGCTCTCCCCCCCCAAGTCTCCCAGGCTTAAATGCAGCCCCTATGTGAGTTCAGTGAATGGCACTATAGCATTACATAGATATCAGTGGGAGGGCACATTTCCAAGAAGTATTTATCCCGAGAGAGTAGTGTAGTGGGAAAATTGATTTTCACATCAGCCAATTACAGTTCTGGGCGGGCGGAGGGGAGCTGTGAGGGGCCGGTTCTTCACTCTGATTGGCTGAGGAACGCTCCAAACTGGTGACAAAAGCAAACGCATTTCACATCAGCGGCGCACCCGCGATCGCCGCGCACTTTATGTGAATAGCAACTTGGAAATCCAACCAAGAATCGCCTTGTAGCGATGCTCAGACTATGTGGTCGCCTAGCAACCACGCGCTTTTTTGACAGGTTCGCGTGCACTGTGATATTGTTAGTAGAATAAAGTTTCCAAACAAAGTGAGTCTACAGTTCACCAGTTATGAGCTGCTCCCCCCGTGGAATCCAAACATGTGGCCGTGCAGTGGGCGCGGAGCGCGGGAGCTCGCCATGGTGCTGAACAGCTCGGCCTACTCCACCGGGTCACTTCGCTGCCAGGAGACGTTTCTAAAGTGTATGTCCAAAACATCTGAAACCACGATGACTGTTTAATCCAACGCTGCAGCCAGAGCATCCCTGACACGTCGGAACATTAGTCTGTAGTTCAGCTGTGGCTTAAAGAGGCTTTGTCCTTGATGCGGGTCAGTGAGAAAACAGTCCCTCAGTTTGATGCTGCTGTTCCGTGTGGAGCGCTACATGCACTGTGTGACCGGTGAAACTAACCGTAGGCTGTCACACACTTCATCATTCGTGTTCCAGGTGTCTAGGCTTGTCCTCCCCAGCTACATGCAGGAGAGGGCCAGAATATTAGGAACACCTCTGAATGCAACGTAGTCTAGTACAGCACCACCTTTAACTATGACCTCAATTAAATAATAACTCAATTTATACATTTAGGACAATTTCACTGAAACATCTTTGAGCTTCATAAACACACATGTTAACACGGAAGCGCATACAATAGTACAAGTGTACCTAATAAAGTGGCCCGTGAGTGTATTTGTGTGTATTTCACTTAATATATAAACATTTGTAGGCCTCATGCCACCACTGTGATACTACCCCTGTAGGCACCTCTGTGATTTCAGGCAGTCGACTCTTCCTGGTGTGGTGACTTTGTGTTTCCCTGGTTTGACTTGTCTTAAACAACGTGCAGGCAGCTACTTACTGCTCACGGATAACATCTGCACTGTTCCTTCATGTTAGTAGAAGCCAGTGATGCAGCCTGTGCCACCGGAGAATACGGCTGCTACAGGTCTGTCTAGTCATTTCGCCCAAATTGGCTGTAATTGTCGGTATTAAAATCTGGGAGAGTGCAAGTGCCGCTCCTGTGGCCATTTGCGAAAGAAAGCGGTTCGCTATAATTTGTTGATGTGGTGTTGTCGTCACATTTCCAATCAGGCCGCTTAATGTGAAAGTGTCTTAATGTAGGCAGAATTCACGCTGCAATGCTATTAGGCAATTAAGGGAGATGTTAGAGCGGAAGTTGTAATCCTTGGGCTGGAGGACAGGATTTCCATTTGATCAGATGGAGGGAGAACAAATTAATTACTGGGAATCAGTTACGCTGGAAAAGCGCCGTTCTGCTGCATTAGTGTGCATAGCTTTGTGTTAAATGGACGTGTGCGTTCAAAATGCAAATCAAACACCTTTGGCGCGGCGGAGCCTGTGCATTAGTTGTAGCCGATGTCATTAGGCAACTCGTCCAGGACTAAATCAGATGCCAAATGTGCACAATCTTTTCAAAAGACATCGCACCGTTCTTGATAAGATACACGTTCTGTCGGCCATGTTTCCAATTCGGGAAGCGAGTGAAAATATTTTAATGAAACAAAATTCCAGGAGTCAACACCATGTTAATAAACGTGTCCCTGCGTTTTAAATTCTAAGGTGGAGGTAAAGAGCAGCAGAAGAAAAGACCTCATGTAGACTGGACCAAGGCAGATGGAGGTAACCCTGCCGTACCTGGCTGTGCGTCAGTCTCCTTCGTGGCTGCATCAGGAGAACAAGTCGCTTTTAGGGCTAAATTAGAAAGTGAATAAAACAAATGGCGGCGGGATCGTATGGCGGTTCCGTTCTTGAGGCGCAGTTAAGCGGATTTTTGCAGCCATTTCATAATTAAAAATTTGAGCCGGCCAGGCAGTGCGTCAGTCCGTTAAGTGGCGCGTTTGGATGAGGTTTGCAGCAGTGCATTGGATAATACTTGGCTTATAGTTTTCAAAGTAGCCGTGATGGTGACAGCGATGGATAGAGCAAAGAAATCCAGGGATGTACAGGAGGATAATGCACCCAAAGGCTTTTCCCGAAAAAGGCAATGCCGCTTTTTAGGCTTGCAAAACCAAAAATACAAAGTAATTTGTCCGCCTCCGCCACGGCTTTTTTCTTTGACGTCTCTTGCACTACAGTGTTTTTGTATTGTACGATTTTTTTCAATAATATTCCCAAACGTGTCCAAGTCAGTTGTGAGCACTTCGTTTCCGACGTGCCCTACTCTCCAGACAGGCGCGGTAAAACGCGCATTTACTGCTGTTAAGTGTTTTCACAGGCATGTCTTTTTCTGTGGATGACTCCTTTGCATTTTGTTGTAGACTACCTCTCCACTAGACATAGACTCAATTCGACATCATAAAAACCATCACGTACAATCCTTTTTAATTTGACATTTCTCTTGGAATATGTGTAGATGTGCTGTCAGTCGCACCTGTTTCAGACAGTAGGACGGGTCAGGAGTTTATGGTGGACACAGTATTTTAAAGCTAAGACGGGGCCCCTACATGGAGCACTGACCTACTAGTGACATAAAACCGCATGGCCAGGCATCGGAACATTTTTGTGTTGTTTTCCAACAACGCTAAAAACGTACGACTAATCAGTAAATCACGCACACTTAACAAAATCGAATAAAATACAGCATTTGCAGATGAAAATGAAGAGTCATATTTTCCCCTTTTAATTCAGTTTGTTTCCACAGTCATTCATGTTCCAGACGTGACCTCTGAATTCATGTTCATCTCCACACAACCGTGACACAGCTGTCACGATCATAATCCATGACATGAGGGTTTGGGTCTTCCAATAGGAGTCTGCGCATCCGAAAGGCGCACATATAGAATATATAAAGAATATAGCTCTGTTATCTGTCTGGAAATTTTCACCTTCAGATAGATAAAAGAAGGAGTGCGTGTGGTATTTGTAATTTTGTAGAAATGCACATGTTTAGACAAATCGTGCACTTTTATATTTGCGGTTTATCGGCACACTCTGCTTATGGTTTGTGCCATTTGGGGTTCAGTGACTAGTAACTGAGCATTTTTCATTCATAAAAAATCAAATCAAATAGATAATCTGCCTATTTTAAAATAATTCAGAGAACCTGCCAACGAAGTGAGTTCTATTCTCTGTGTCGCATCAAAGTCACCAACCTAACTACGCCATATAAGATCTAATCCATGCGGCGGCCACGTCACATTCCACACATTATTAATTGTGTGTCCAGTTAATGAATGAAAATGCAGAAAAATACCACAGACATAATGCTGATCATGGTCTGTTTTACTGCATGGGGAAGGATTCAGAGATGAGCATTTACTAAAAGCGCCACTTATTGATAATGCGTCATTGATTTAGCTGCTTGACTGCAGGTTAATCCATCTGTTGTGGGACTGTATTCTACTGTGAAAGCGATTGGTTGCCTTGTGTAACATTACAAACTTTCTGTAGTGTTTATTTTTACACATAGTACATGCCAACCATTAGGCCCGTGCAGGTACGTGAGGCCTTGACTTTGTAATGGTGAATATGATGCACTGAATTTACAAAAGCTCCTACATGATGGAGTGTAAAATGAATGCAAACTGTATTTTGAGCCTGTTACTTCCATGTTATCACAAACCATCTTCCCCAAGGAGGGAATGTATCTACACTTCAGACTGATTTACTCACTTATCCAGAAACTCTGTTATAACTTTAGAATAGGTTACACTCAGCTGAATATGATCACAGCCAAATGTGAAGGGGGAAAGTGACTGCAGTTTGCTTTGTTGCATGTTTACCTGAAAAGAAGGTGACCGCCACTGACAGCCAGCCAATGACAAAGGGCCAGGAGAACCTCCAGGCTCCATATTGTTTCCCATAGTAAACACCCAAAAACCTGGACAGGACAAAATAAAGGGAAAACATAAAGAAAATGTTTCTGAACAATGACACATGGCCAACCCTTCCCACTGGCTGCTCTGTGAAGTTTTCAGTTAGCAAATCACTGAAATTATTCTCAGAAATCCAGACTTTTTAGACATTACATCTCTGAACTCTTCACTACAGAAGACCACCAAATGATCTCTTGTATTATGCAAATTATGCAAAACAAGGCAATCAGAACAGGAGGGTAATGAAATCTCTATGTCATGAATGAGGCCTTTTCTAAATGTAACAAGCAGCTGTGCTTTGTTATGAAACTGTGCTGATAATGAAATCATTAAAAAGTCATTAGTTCATGATTAGTACATTGTTGTTTTTACTTTTTAGAAACCTGCCTTGAGTCACAATTGTTGGTGCTTGCAAACAATTAAGGATAAAATTAAATGCAAATTAAAGTTCAAACCAAAGCAAAAACAACAGAGTTGAACTTACATGAGATGAAAAACAATGAACCTGCAGCAAAGGTTGTGGAAAAGCTGTCGAAGAAGGAGTAATGGATGAAATCCATAATGCCAGTGATGATGCCAGTGGAACAGGCCAAAACAGAGAGGGTCCTGACGGCATGCGTGGCGTCCCAGTGGGCTGCCGACGAGGTCAATAAGAGGCACTGGTGAGGGCAGCGCATGCCAGCAGAGATGAATGATGGGAGATGTAACCCTGAGCTATGTCAGCAAGCCAGTATGAGGAAGGGTGAACATCTCTGAGCAAATGACTGCTTTTATCACAGTGTTGTGAGCTGGAGATCATAAAACTGTAGACCACATCTTTAAGGAGAGATCAGACACACAACACATGAGCCTACACAGTTAATGAGAATTAACTGCAGCAAGACAAATCAAGAGCAATGGAAACACAGCTGGTTACATAACTCACTCCAATAAGGAGCCAAGTTGTATGTAGCACCTGCTGCTCTGGTTTGTTTAAAGCTCAAAGGGAGGAGCCGACAAATTCCTTTTTTTTACCTCAGTAGTGCTCAATCTTCTAGAGATGACAGACAGTACGGCCTTTTTACAGTAAATAAACTGTAACTGTGACCAAACCATTTCCTTACTTATAACTCCAATAAAAAAAACTAAGACTACAAAATCAGGTACCACATCGTTTTATTTTTGATGGGATCCTGTGATAATATGCATACTGCTTCCATTCAACCTAACACATAGGTTAGCAAGTTAGCCCAGCTATTCATTTACAGTTACACTGTGTACAGAATTAAAATGAGAGCATGGACATAACTTTTCTTGCTGGCTTATAACACTTTACTGCAGCCAGTGACAAGACTTCTGCCTCTGGAACAGCTAAAAAAAAAAGCAGAAGTTCGTTATTTCCATTAGCCTGCACTCCTTGGCGATGTGTATCAATACCATCATTGTGTGGGAAGCATTTCCCTGGCGTACAGTAGCACCACAGGCTCTGGTGCCTGTAGCCGTCAGGCTGCCGATGCTGCATCCAGTAATCGGTTGCTGTGGAAACAATCAGGAGGATGCTCCCCACGCCTGCACAGAGCAGCCCTCCGCCCATAAAGCACCTGCACACACACACACACACACATGCACACAGACACAGAGGAACATAAGGTCATTTTGAATCAGCAGTCACGTCACACACACACACACTTCAGGGAGAGAGGGTGTAAGTGTCAGTAATTGCGTTGTAATGAACATATTATTTCCACTGGACTGAGCTGCGGGGTTGCCTGTGTGTGAATGCTCCACTTTGTTCTCCAGGAGATCTGTCTCTGAAGATGGGCTTCGCATACGCCCCCACTCACAATGGGCACACACACACTCACACACACACACATGAATCCACCCTCTATCAATTCCAGCGATGCTTTGATACTTGATACATCTATTGCTCATTGTTCCACCTGGATGCAATATCCTGCAGCCATCCCCTCGTTCTCACGGAGAATTGTCATGGATTTTTGGGGGAAAGAATGATGGATAGATAGGGCCTATATCTCCTTATGCCTGAAACTTGAATGGTAGTTCACTGAAGAGTATCCTCTGTGGCGAGTGCCAACAGCTGTCTCCATCTAAAGCAAAGGGCTTTTAAATCCATTTGATCTTCATGTAAAACAAATACAATTTACTATTTTTCTCAGAATGTCATCATCATGAGGTAATCAAGAAATTCTACTAATTGCATTTAATAGTCATTTAAGCCTGTTGTATTGGACATTTTTCTAGCTAGTCATTTTCTTCCAAGGATAAAAATCAGGTTTCCTCCCGCTCTGACGCAGCCTGAGGCTGCAGCTGGCACTGACCTCACGGCTGACGCATTTCTCTCACTCACACAATCACATCATTCAACCTTCTCAACAGAAACTCTTCAACTCCTACTTCAAATGTCTCCTGTAAAATACCTGAGAACACACCAAGAAGAGAGATACTGTGCATATCGCTGATAAAAGCACTTTGTTGATGCAAACTCTTCCCTTTGCTCCACAGTGTCTGTGTAGTAATCAGTTTAGAATTAGACATACATTTCTCCATTTCGGTTTTTCATTTCATTGTCATACCTGGGGAGGAATCCTCTAGAGGAGACTGTGTTTTATTGTGTTGCCATTCACCACACCACAGCTACATTAATAAATAAGTTATTCATATTTGTATATTTGTACCTAACGGGTGGCAGAGTGACAATGTTTGTCTCCCTGGAACTTCTAAGGCCATTATATGTAAAGACATTGTAAAAGACCAAAAACTAGTGTGCACATTGTCTGATAGCGTGATCCATGTGCAGCTCTTAGCTGCATCTCCACATGGAATAAAATTGAACACCAAATAAATAAATAAATAAACGTTATCATCTTACCATAATCAACACCTTTTCTGAATCCATTTATGAAAACAGGGCTGCCTGACAAAATAAAACTACAGCCTATGATGCAAACGCAGGCCGATTCCTAGCAGGCTAAAACCACTGGTGTTTAACAGGGTGTACTGGGGTAACTGGGGTAACAGCAACCACAGCAGTGAGGCAACAGGCCTTATTTTCCACTGGATGTTAGTCATATTTGCAGTTTATATTGATGCACATGTTATTAGGCATATCATTTCATCAAGTTCTGAGTAAAGATATTATTCATGATTTCCCCATTTGCTATGGTTTTGCTGTAGTTGTAATAATGACAAACATATCCAAATTCTCAGCAAGAACCTCTTCTTCTTTCTTTCTTTTTTAGCATCTTTAAACCACTGTTACATTTCTACTCTTTCTGATTTTCACTTCATCTATATGTAAATGATCAAGATAACCATCTAAATAACCCACCCTGATCCCAGCTGCAGTCAGTACTGTCGGTGGTGGAAAAAGTACTCAGATTGGTTACTAAAGTAACAGTAGCATGATGTTTATACTGTGATTTGTTTTATCAATCTCATTCAGAAATCTAACTAGAAATTAAGGTTATCAAATCAGTGTAGTGAGAACAAAATACAATAATTTTCTCTGAAATGTAGTGAAATATGAAAGAGCACAAAATGAAAATACTCATATAAGGATACCTCAAAATTGTGCAGTACAGTACTTGAGTAAATGTACCTGGTTACTTTCCACCTCTGAATACTATTACATGGCAGTACAGTCGTCCATTCCTGAATATGCATCTTTCTATGCATATATACTGTGGCTGTGCAGCTTAGGAAGGTGAGTCTGAGCTGCCTTTCCTTCTAAACTGTCATCACCTGTCATTTCTTCATGAAGTATGCATAGTGTAAAATATGTTTGTCTGAGTTTGCCTTTAAAAATAGGAGTGAGACATGTGCACTGGTCACAACTGGGGAGCCTTTTGTTTTTCTATAACTTATAAATGTGGTTGAAAATCAGATTGTCTGATAGGAATTTGATTTGGTGTCAGACACTAAACAAAACATCCCATACAGTAATCATCCCAGGAAATGAAGAGGCGGCTGAAAACCTCCAGTGGAATAATTCCTCGGACTAGCTGACCTCTACTGTAAGCAGCTTTCACTGAGGGCATTTATATCCACATCTGATAAACAGTGAACTCCTTTAGCCCACCTCTTAGTTGAAAGTAAATGAATATGTACTTAAATAAAGCCACATTTATTATTTGATGTTGAATCACCTCTAGTCAATTACTGGCTGGAGTTTACAAGCCACAGTCATGATAACACTTGTAATGTGCCCTGATGATGCTTTGCCAGGTCTGTACAGTGGACAGCTTCAAGGCTGGCCTTGGCGAGCTTGAGCTCAGGCTTTCTGCCTCCTGCTTGGTGTCCATCAAATGAGACATGTGCTCAGTTGGTCCTAGACATGCCAGTCAAGAACACTAGCCATAAAAGTCATTAGTTAAATTATCTCTTTGTTTCAAATCACTGGTGTATTGACCAACAGTATGCATAAAAGAGCTACAGTACACGTCCTACACTGTTAACTCAGTGTGGACATGACACCTGAAACCTCTTTACTGTACCACTGACAACAAAAGAAACACAGTTTAACTTTGATGTGGTGATTTTTGCACAATAAAATAAAACGATTCTAGTTCCCTTCAGCACTACTTTACTTTACTTTTTGGTTTGCTCTCTCTAATGTGGTTAAACTCACTCTACACTACCTACTGTGCACCAGCCAGGAGACGACTGCAGCTAGAGACCAGCTGGTGAACACCACGGAGCATCTAGCAAATAAAAAGCTATTTTCCTACAAATTACACAATAAACTGGAATAATTCCATCATATTGCCACTCTCTGAAGATGCCTGGGATTCTGCAGCTCAAGACTGTCTCCTACCACTTAGACATCATAATATTTAGGCATCAGTATTTCCCCCAGGCTGTCAGAACCTTTTAACCTTAACTACACCCCTCTGCTAATAAAGATAGAACTCTGGCAGCCTGGTGGAAAGCAAACAAAATCACTAAATAATCATCATAGATGTATCAACACTGTGTAGATACCCATCCACTTTCCAACACGACAACACAAAGGAATCACTCACTTTCATCATCTATTTGAAAACAACCAGCTCATACCGTTCAACACATTAGTCCAGAAGTATGGAGTTGGGAGAGGAGAATTTCTCCAGTACCAACAGTTAAAATCCATAATTAAATCAAAGACCAGTCAGCAACCACCTGCAACCTTCCATGCTAGTTGAGGAGATAGTGAAATTTACAGACTCATAGAAGATATCTAAACTTTATAAACTAATGTCAAATACAGATAGAACAGTAACATTACCATCTTATACAATACAAGACTATTCACAGGTCTCACATCACACAAGGTAAAATGTTTAAAATGGACCTGCTCACAATGCACTCTGGGTTGCGCCGATGATTACTTCCATGCTACTTGGACCTGTCGACCCGTTTACTCCCTCTGGGTAGCGGTGACAGAGAAAGTCTCCACCATCTTGAGCTGTAGAATCCCTCCATCCTCGTCACTCTGCCTGCTTGGTAATATCACAGAAGCCAACCACCTACCAATTAAATATAAAAACCCTCGCTATCACCAAGAAAACAATCTTTCTAAACTGGAAATCTAAAAATTCATTACACATCAACCAATGGACCAACCTTCTCATAGAACATATCACACTAGAGAAAATATCATCCACTTGGAATCTGTTTCTAACCTCTGTTATCTTAAACCAGATACCTGAGGCCGAGGCCATGCACATTCCCACAAACTCCTAGAAATAAAACAAGCTGCTTTTATTTCATTGTTGTTACTGTTAGTCCTCATTGTCCAAGCTACTGTTTTGAGTCTCACACCTATCAATCAAACCAGATTAACTGAGAATATTACCCCCCTTTGTTTTCCTCTTCCCTCTCTTTCTAATCATTTGTCAATTTTATTTACTTTTGTTTTGTGAATATACATATATATCTGGGTATATATAAGTATGTGTATGCAAAAAATATATATTGTATTTATATGATTAAAATTGCTTTATTCTGTTTTTTGTTTTTTATTATTTCATTACTACAATCATCCATTTTCTATCAACTGTCTTTTCTTTCATTTAACCCTCCCCCAATTTATTAATTTACTTGGTTTAATATTATTATTATTATTGTCAGTAAATACTGAATATCAGTCTGCACAGAGTTGGATCCACCCACACTTTTACACACACAACTTTATCTCTGTCCTCTTTGTTAAAGTCTATTGTCCCATGTACTATGTTATGTCTTTTGTCCTGTAAATGTGTGTTGCAATCAAAAAAACAAAACAAACAAATGCTTGCTTACAGTTCTGGCTAAGACCATAAGGAACATAAACACTTCATTGCCCAACACAAATTTTAATTATTTAAAGAGCAGGTTTTCTTATTAATGCAAAGGCGAGGCTCTCCCCCCCAATAATGAATTGAACATATAATATGACCCAAACCATGACTGATCAGATTTTGTACTTGAACCATTCCACCCCTAGTTTCTCATATCAAATACAGGTTTTATTTTTATAAAATAAATAAAAAAATAAAAATCACAACAAAACTCATCTCAGGACATTTTACAAAGTCTAGAGTTTACTATTATTATTATTATAAAGGAAAACTCAACAAATCCCCCCTGAGCAGCACTTGGCGACAGCGGAGAGGAAGAACTCCCTTTAACGGAAGAAACCTCCGACAGACCCCAGCTCTTGGTGGGCGGCCTTCTGCCTCGACCGGTTGGGGTGAGTGGACATTTGTGAACAGTCAACAAACTGTGTGTTTACTGCCACCTCTAAATAGAAGAGTTGTGTTTGTGGTAGCTCTCTGTTCTGGTGAGGAACAAAATGGGGATACATTTTAAGTGTAACCAAGAGTAACTGTATGATCCTCTCTATGCTCTTATATGTGAGGCACCTTGAGCTGCCATGGAGTGTGAAAGGTGTGGTATAAATAAAGCTGACTTGGCTAAACATTGTACACTAAGTAGAAAGAATGTGGATAATGATGCACGTTTCATGTCGGCTGTATGGTTAAGGCACCAATGCTCTTTCAGTGAAGACTTGGAAATAGACACCATTCATTCGCATTCATTTTGTTACAGGG